GCAGCCGATAGGCAGACATTTATCTATGTATTATTTACCCCCGAAGCAGAAACCCAATAAATCAAAGTGTGCTGGATTTACCCTTTATAACCGGAATGCTGATCTAATATCCATTTTTCTAAACTACACATTGTTTTGAAAAATGGTGGATATGATGGATGGCAAGTGAGTGATCAATCTCAATCACCTATTCTATTCTTCTCCAGATTTCCCTCCACTCTTCATACTGAAGTTGAAAGGCAGTCACAAGTCTAAACCATGCTAATGATAATAAAATTGAAATCAGTAACGAAAGAAAAACTACTTTAGTTCATGAAGAAAATGATAAAGTCATAAAGAATGTTAAAATTGTTCCGGATAAGGAAATAAATAATGTTATAAATGTTCATGAATAGAATGATAGAATGATAGAAATAATGTTATTGGTATGAATAGGCCTATTATTGTCATGCTAAATTCGTTGCAAAGGAGATTATCAACTAAAAAGACCAATGCTGAATTTCAACAATTCAAACCAGATAAAGTTAAACACAACTACAAGACAAATGAAAGGTGTTTCTAAAATGAGATTCAAAATTCCAGAATTACAGACAATATTAATGTCCCACATACTTAACAATGTGTTTGTTAGAACCTGCTTACATGATAATTCTTCAAACCATAATGCACCGAGTTACAAGACTTGGGTGTGCAGTATGAAAAGTAACTAAATTCGGTTTTAAGAAATATAATTTCAAAAGAGTCTTTAGCTGGGTATATATGGATCTTACAATAGGCTATCTGGGCTGCAAATTAACTTCACTAACCCAGCAAAGAATTACAAGTCATGGCAATATTTGATGTTGTCATGAATAAAGAAGACCATGTTCATATTCAGAGCATCAAGTGAACTTTGTTTGGCAGTCATAATAATTCATATTTTCCACTGGCATACATGATGAAGGAATTCAGTGAGTGAGAATTTAGAATGGTTGTTGTCATATCTACCAGCTTGGGTCTTTTTCATATTGAAGTGACACCTGGCGAGCGCCACCAAGCTTTTTCATAATTCTGTTTGTCTTTTTTTTTGTTGCATTTTTTAAAAATGTAAAAATCAATAATAAGCATATTGCAGCTTAATTATATTGGCGAAGGAAGCGACTGGTATATAACTAAAATAGTAAATTTATTGGTTGGTAATAATACCAGACGAATGTACCCCCCAAAATTATTGTCTTAAAAATAGCCCAACAAATATGGTCCTTTCCAGTTCGTCCAACGTTATATTCGGATGGGATGTCGCAACTGCCTGAACTGCCTGAACCCAGTTCCGACATCCTATCCGAATATCACGTCGGAGTAACTAGGACCATATTATAAGGTGACTTTTCATACACTGTAAACACAACTTTACTTTAAGACTTTGTGAACTTATTGGTATTCCAACCTTCTGTGTTTTACGAAAAACAATTCAAATACAGTAATTGCCTTAATCAGTGTAAGCAAATCAACTTGTTCCTATATAGACCGAAACATCTGTCTCTATTCCAGCCTCTGGTTGCTATTTGGACAGATGTCAGCTGGCTATTTGGACAGATGTCAGCTGGTCAAGCTGACAACTGTCAAAATATCAATTAGAGGCTTGAATAGAGGCAGATGTTTCGGTGTAGTTCCTATGGTAACATTACATAGCAGTAAACAGACTTTACTTTACAAAAATCCGTTTCTGAGACTAAGGTTCAATTTGTTAAACGGATGACGAATCTGTTCTTTTCAACAGTACATTTTTCAGAGTACTGTATTCAAACTGATTAAAATTAAGGTCGGAAATCCATCTCGTATATAGAACATGAAAAGTTGCCATTTTCTAGAAGAAACTGATGTTAAATTTTGTTTTAACATGATTTGATCGTAGTGCCTTCGACACAATATTTCATATTTCTTTATATCTGACTATATTTTGAGTTTTTAAAATTTGATTTATATTCAGGTTATTGGCAATTGACATACACGACTTCATTCACAGTAATGACTATCTTTAGCAGCGTGTATTGAAACTTGAGAAACTCGAGAAATATCGTTGAAATATCTATAACCTTTTTATAACAAAAACCCAAATCAACTGATTTTGTCGGGCGTAGTGATATCAATGTCGGTGGTATATTCTTGTATTTATTGCAAGGTAAGAACAAAGCGTAGTTTCGTAGAGCCTAACCTAAAATATGTCAAAAAATAAAATCACAAACTAGGTAGCCAGAGTTTCAGGTTTCATGAGTATAGTGAATGAGAAATAACTTTTTTGTCATTTTTATTTGCTTAAAGCAACATAAATAATACAAACGAGGTCCATGAATTGAGTTAATGTACATGAAAGGTCCCACAAAACAATCAAATGAACTAACAGAATCAATTATATCACTAACATCAGAGCCTATATAAACTAAGCTAATATATTATAAAGATAGCTTGCCAGGCAAGGTAATATACGCCCACTGACAGCTTTGATTTTGAATAAAAATATTTAGCAGTACAGTTACAATCATCAGTATGAAATATTCAACCTTTAGTCATACACTTCTTTTGAACTCTTTAGGGCGATACTGAAGAATATTGAGTATGAGTAATTGCTCTTGTTCTTGAAAAGGGGTTAAATTTTTAGCTTGTGGAAACTCTAGAAGACAAATATTCAATCTTCAGCGCGGTACTGAATAATAAAACCAAGTTTTGTCAAAATCCGGCAAGAATCATGCCCTTTATTGTTTAAGAGCTAAAATTTGAAAGCGTTTTCAAGAAAGAGGTCAGTAACTCCTATAAAACATATTTCGATGTTTTGATTTTCGATAGGGTTCATTGGGTGATTATAAACAATTTCACCATGTTTCGTCAAAATCTTCCAAGAATTAAGCTTTCTAGAATGTTTATGAGCTCAAAATTTAACACATTCTCAAGAACAAGGGCAATAATGATACTAATTATTTTTCGATTTTTCTGATTTTCGATAGGTTGATCTTTGGGTGATAACGAACACTCACACCAAGTGTCGTCAAAATCCATCAAGAATTGGGTCTTGTAGAGTGTTTACGAGCAATTGTGGACGGACGGACAAGGTGACGGCAATATACGCCCTCATATCATGTGGGTATATAAAAAGCATGCATTCTATAATATAAATACACTGCACTCATTGAAGTTATCTTTTTTCAGAGAAGTCATTATTCCCCAATAAATACAAAACAAAAAAAGCCATTCTTCTTTTTGTTCAAATAAATGGAAATGGAATCAATGGTCTAGAAAATCGCAAATCAAAGTCATCTTCCGTTGTTTTGATGCATCTATCCTTTACTACGAAAGGATGCGATTGATTATAAAAATAATAAAATTATGAAGCTTACAACGAAGTCGGTTTCCATCATAGCTGAGTAAATAATTGAAGAACTTTAACATTAGAAAACTAAGCCATGGGGAAAGGAACCATAATGCAGAACAATATTTACCATGTAGCTTAGCTACGAATCCTTAAAAAAAAGTTAACAGACAAATACATACATATAAAGTAAAAGGCTTACATATTATTTATAACATTCTTTTCAAATACAAAAGAATTCGAGATGACTTATACTTATTCAACCTGTAGAACAGGGATTTTCAACTTGAGGGTAATTACCTAATTAATGAGGCGCCTGGAGTCAGGAATACAATTTTGGACATTTTATAATTCAAAGATGGATTTCCTGGTTATTTAGTGACAAATAGGGCAAACTGTTTCATTAATTGTTTTTTTAATGAATTATCATGAATTACTTATCATATCATCTTATTCTTATTGCATATAATTAAGAGTATAAAGGTGCATTTATACAGAGCGCGAACGCGAACGCGGTTTTTCGTCATGGAATGGTTTCATCATTTTATAGAGGGACCGTTCAAATAGAATGCGAACGCGAACGCGAACAAATATTTGTTCGCGCGGTCGACCGCCGAGATTGCCCCAAGAGCGAATTTTTCAGAAAGTCGCGGCGGATTTCTTGCTATCAACCAATCAGCTTGTACCACCTCCCTTGCATCATTTCTAAAATAGAAACTTGTGCACATGCCTTTTCCAATTTGCTTCTAGGGTACAAACAATGGATAAAACGGAAGTTTTGATTTTAGAAGTTGAAAAGAATCCAGTTTTGTTTGACAAAGCTGAAAAAACTTACAAAGAGACAGTAAAAAAGAAAGATATTTGGAAGGGAATCGGAGAGATGATTCCAAAATGACCATATGACCAAATTTTCACAACAAAAGAGGCGATCCGCATTGAAAGCCGTCGACGGTTTTCCGCGTTCGTGCTCTATTTGAATGACTGAACTGATGAAAAGTCGCGTTCGCGCCGGTCGCGTTCGCGTTCGCGCTCTGTATAAACCCACCTTTAACCAGTCCATGTATGTACAAACAAAACAAAAAGACTTTTTGACCTTTTTTGATCGGTCACTCATTGGAATTTTACTGGTAGTTCGCTTCTAATTAAGGACATGTGAGACAAACTGTTATTAAGTCATTAGAACACCTCTACTTTCTATTATATAAGTATTAGCATTTTCATTTTCATAAATGAAAATAAGGGAAGTCATTCTATTCAGCCAGAGTATATTTTCTGTTACGGAGCTCTTAGGAGATGTAACAACAACCCTCAACAATGTAACAAAACAATTTGTTTACAATCCAAATATATAGGCACCCCCCACATGTGTCAGTTTATAATTGATATTTTTATTGGTGGTTATATTTATCGATTTTTAGAGCAACGAATTAAAATTCGAAGGCATTGTCAAATTCGCTGAATACTTTTAAATCAATGTTTCCCCATCATCAAAACAGATGTGGATATACAGCCCAATCAGATTCAAAAAACCACTGAATGTAGACTCAGTCAGTTACAAAGATATTAAGCAACCAGTCCAGGCCATCTTTTGTCAAAGTTGTGCGTAGACATAAGATGGACTGGATGATAGAGGCCATTCTCCGACATGAAAAAAATCGCAGAAAATAGTCAAGATTTATAGGGGTAAGCGACGGGGTAATTTAACTAATCAAGGAATCTGAAAAGGGTAATAGAAAAAGGGTTAAAATCCCCTGCAGTAGAACGACGTTTTCGATTCACTTACACTGAGTATAGCTTTCATATGCTCCTTAATCGTTGATGTATTAATTAATGTATTGATTGATCAAATTTATTGATGAAGTAAAAAATACAATAGGTTGGGGTCAAAAGAGAAAAAAATGCCTTCTTGGTAAGTGATTATACTTAGCCCTATCACGCCTCTGACAGGGCTAGACGGTAGAATTTGGTAACTGTAACAGATGTTGACAACCAGATTTTGGCATATAACTCTGATGTAAACCAACATCAAGCGGTATCTCACATTTATCTGGATGTTGGGTGGTAATGGAATCACGAGATATCATGTCATAGCGATTTTCTGCTGAATTCCACACATGAATGGGGGCTCTGTATCCATATAGTTGAAAATCACACGCACATCCATATGGAGAGAAACAACAGAAATATCGAAATGTAACATTGATCATATTGACCTCTTCACCAACTTCAGTGGCTCCTGGTGAACCTTGGTCTTCCACAATAACTATCTCTTTGACTGGAAAATCTTCTTTACTAGTGTTCTTGCTCTTTTTAGACTTTTTGAGTTCCTTGTTTGTTGGTCCACAAGGAAAATGATATGAAATAAGACTGTGATAACGTTGAGCATCTTTAACAGAAAGTTTATAATAAGGTAATAAAGGATCGACTTCACTACTTCCAGTCAGGTTTTCTGGTGGTCTTGTATCTTGAACTGGTACTCTTAAACCAGGCAATAGAAATATATCTGATATCTTCCATTTAACAGTTATACCACTAGAAATCATTCGTGTTGACACATCTAAATCTTGTTCTTTAAAACAGGTAGTATGATCTACAATTCCTTTGATAATATCAGAATAACTAAATATACTATCTTTATTTTTTAAATAATATATCATACACACCACCGCATACTTGGCCAGATGCAGAATATCTGTAGAGTGAGCTAACATACAGATCTGATATTCATAGGCTATGGACAGTTCTTTGGCTACCTCATACAGAATGTTTTCAATTTCACTTTCTTCTATTCCTTCCAGTTTATGTAAAATAATTGCTGCCTTGTAACAGTTAACAATGTCATAAACATAACGAAAAATTTGTGGCAAATGTCGTTGAAAGTTGGAAAATCGAAATTTCTTCAATGCTGCTAGAGTAACTTCCCTTCTAGATTGACCTAAAGCTAGAAAATCCACACTACAATCCGAATTATCACAGCTAGAAAAAACTGTTTCCATTCTAGTTTCATACTTCCGTTTCTTCTTTAAAGATTCTGACACAAAATAATCTTTAAATATCTTTTGCATACTCATTAACTCATCTTTCGTTGGCAGTGGCGATTTCAACTTAACCATCTTGAAATATTAATCTTCACAAAACTTGATGTACTAATTAACAGTACATCAAAGCGGAATAATACAGAAATTTAGAACAAAATGTTATGTAATCAAATCTTTGGAGAACATTCTTTTACTTGGAAAATTGATAATAAATATTGTAGAACAGCATTAAATAACAACAAATAAAACTTAAATTAACATAAATAAGAACTTACAAAACAATTAAAAATGAGTTATCAAAAACATCACAAAATAAAATAAAAATGAGCATTAATCTTATATTCAAATAAAAATACTATAACAAAATATGATAAGATAAAAACTAAAAAGTCTTTGGTTTAGGAACACAAAATATGACTAGAAATAGAAATAATAATCAACAATGTTTTTGTTATTAAGACTTAGAATATATTGCACTGGCAGGAATATTAAACGTGATAGTAATAAATAAATAGCTCAATCAATAAATAACAACATTTATACAGTGTGAAATAGATTGATTATATAATGTGGTCCTCTATATTTCATGTTATTCATTTACACAGTTTATTACTAAGTTTTCGTATTAACCAGACAAGCTTATTAGCAATGACGGCACCCATATCTTTTAAGCTAGTTGTTTTGCTCACAAATGTGCTTTCCCTGAAATAAAATAAAAACCTTATTTATGCCATCGTTGTGCAGAGTAATCTAATTAATTGTCTGCATATAAAAACTTGTTACCTAATTAAACAGAGGGGGTATCATTTGACTAAGCTATTGATGATATAACCAGATTCAACTTCCTTTTCCAAACTTTAGACATATGTTTCATATAGGATTTCATGAGGTAGAATATTTAAAGTAGCAGTAGCTACTAGTAGTAAGTAGTAGGACTAAGCAAATAAACGTTGGCTTGCCTTAAAAAACATAACACTAACAGGACTGCACAAAAAACCAATGAAAATGTTTTGAAGACATCACACAACACTTCCGTTCCTTGTCTACGAGGTTATATCTTTGCCCTTTCAACATACAAAACAGTTCTTGGGATTTATTATGAACATATAGGAATAATGACAAGGTATTTGTTAGGAAGAAATGAATGTAGGCTATGCAAAAGCAAAAACATTGCTCAGATATGAATGCAAATAATGCATTCCCCTACCTTGAGGTAAGAATCATCAATACATTATCTTCTCTGATGTTACCAAGTTTTCATACATCAATGCACAGCTCTTGTTTCTTGAAATTGACATGTTAAGATACGTAGCAGTATGCTACCAGGAAGTATTATAATTACAATATGGCTGACTTGGCAATGGGGGTAACTCTGAATAAAGGCTTCAGACCACACTCATTCATTATCAATATAAATAAATGTCATAAAAACCTGAATTATACATTTGGTTTTTTTTATTCTCATTAAGATTTCACTTCTTGTTAGAATCAATACAAATCACAATATAAATCACTTGTTAATATATCACATGAATAAGGCACTTGAATAATCATACATAAAATTTTACTACATGTATTATTCATCTTTATTTACATTAGCTATTATTTTTTCCATTGGACTATGACAAATTCGTGTGATGTTTATATCAGCATAAATGCCATTGTCTCATCACCAACACATTAGGCATAGTAATTTTAACCAATGCCGTCGTTATTCATTGACGTGCAGGTTGTATCAAATAGACGGTCTCCAATGTAAACAATCATATCGGTAGTCCCAAACGTTGAAACATAAAGAAATAGGCCCTACTTAAATTCATACTAAAGTCTTTGTATCAAAATTAGAATGTCTTGAAAACGTAAATATAACCTACTGCGCATTTATTCAATTTTCCAGGCAACCTTCATCCTGAAATAAATTTTTTCTTACAAAACAATAACATAGCAATTAGTTCAAACCTTGCTGATTCTTACAACCTTAAATTCTGTAAACAAATAAATAAATAAGTCCATCAGAGATTAAAAAGGATCAACAAGTTTCAGAAAAGGTTGAATAATGGTGAATAGGCAAAGACACCTGACAATTTGAGACAAGGAATCTCCTGAATCTCAGGATTATAGATTTAAAACAAGAAGATGATCCAGCCCTGTCGCCAAAAAAACAAATTATAGGACCAGAGAGCCCATTTCTGACAATTTTGAGGTGCCAAAAACGTATCAAAATCTATATATTTTTGATTTCTTACAGACACTGTAAATTAATCAATCTCTGCTGAACTGAAGAAGGTTTTGCTGGGGCTTAATTCTCACTTGCTAGGGCCCTAACAATGAGACTGGGATGATCAACTATTGTACTATCATCTGTTTTGGATTTTGTCTCGATGAGGATGGTTTAAAATTAAGTATTTCATCCTTGATTACAATACTTATGGAGATAATAATGTTGTTAACATTTTAAAATTCTGATTCCTCTCCCTTCATAAAACATGATAAAACTATATAAATATACAATATGTATAGTTCCTTTAGCAATGGTATATACACGTGAACACATCGTACACATAGGAACATGCAATGACCCCTGCAGTCTGTTTTTGTTTTTCTCAAATATCAATTCACTGCCAGTTTCTATACAGTAATAAAGAACTCGAAATGATTCCAAATATTCCTGATTTGAATCTTGAGAATTTTCCTGCCCACAATACACCAGGTGGTAACCAGTTGATAGCATTGAGCAAATCAGCAGCAGATTGTATAATTAATAAAACATGTCCATATTCTTCTGTCTTTAAAGCCTTCAATCTATCATTTATTTCTTGATTCTGTTCTGAAACTGTCCTAAAATACAGTGAAATTAGGTCATCATGACTCCGTAACCAAGTCTACATAGTTAACAATGCTTATTGGTATTTTTCACTGGTAGTATAATAGTAATTTTCCTTTTTTCTTTTAAGTAGTAAAGGTAACAGTCACTAGTCAAGTGATAAAGGTGCGGGCGCATGAGCGGTCTTGGTCAGAGACTTTTGTCGCCAATTAGAGTCTTGTCTTTAGTTTTTATGGGCACACAAGGAGACAAAAATCTCCAGTGGATCATTTTCCAACTTGTCGATATTCACATGTGGAGCATGCAATTGAAATCATCTTGTAGACGATAAAATTATTGGAGACAATTATCGAACTGGTTTGACATTATAAATCCTGTCGACAACACGATAATCTTGTTGTGGAAACATGGACACACGGGAGATTTTACTCAAGATTAGAGTCCGGGATAAAAATCTCGGACAAAGACTGCTTGTGTGCCCACACCTTTACAATCCACATATATTTCATTTAAAACAATGCTATTTTGATTTGTAGCTTAAGAGCCAACACTCAACAGATACTCAATGGAACATTTATAAAGACATGTTAAAGCCTACAGCACTAATTGGCTCAGCAGAAATCACTGAAAACCTGGAAAACTGGAAATGAATTTGTTAATACAAGAAAAGTCTGACCAAACCTTACCCTTTTTCATCTTTATCTAAATATTTCTGTTTTCTTAATTGAGCTTGTGATTTTTTATTATTCATCAGCTTTACAACAGCTCTGAAAATAGTTTAAAACAGATCTTAATACATATATAAAAAAATTCATTTCACTTTTTTTGGGAATGGAAAAATTGTAAAACCAAACTATTGAAACATCCAGAGCAAGCTGTTAAAAGCAAATAAAATTTAATTTATTGATGTTTGTAAATCACAATCAAGAATCTGAATGTCGTGAAAGGTTTTTGATTTGGAAATATTTGCCAGCAATGTCTGTCAAATGTAAGTTGGATTCTCAGGGCACAGAAGTGAAGAAACAGCCCTATTAAAATTAGTTCATAGGTATGAAACACTTTTTTTTACTTTTCCTGATTTCTATAATAATGCTCTAATCTGTTATAACAAATAACTACTCACTTGCTAATCTCCAGAATCAAGGATATAGCCCAAATGGCAATACATATCACCCACCATAGAGTTGAGCTTCTATTAATAACCTTTTTATCAGCAAACCAAGCTATATGTTCTACTATATAGTAGGACTGATACAATGTGTTGGTCATCATATCTAAAATACGTAATATAGGATTCTTGTCCTGAAATAAAAAAAGGTCATAAATTATGTTATGAATATATCTAGAAGTTTTTAATGCTATCAATTTAAACAACTAACCAAATAATTTGAGAAAAAGTGGAATGTGTGCCATCTTCATTTTTTCAACAAGTGGCTGCCTAGTAAGATACGCCCACTTGACTGATAAATTCAGGTCACCAATCTGTGTCAAATCATACCAAAAATCTAATTTGTCAAGGATATTGTTGATTCAAACCAACACAAAATTCTGACATTAACTGTCACCTCTATCGCGTTTACAAGCCGTATTTAACATAAAATGTATCATTAAAATCAGATGAATACTTTGTAGTCTTATAGTGTCGACTTGACTAAGATCTTTTCAATATAAATGATTACCAGCCCCGTCTTTAGGGTAGAGTCCCTGAGGGCTGGGCCCCAGCATATTAGAATTAAGCTCAAGCAAAACATTCTTCAGTTTAGAATTTCCAAATCAAAAATCTTTCCCAAAAATTCAGATTCTTGATTGTGATTTACAAACATCAATAAATTAAATTCTATTTGCTTTTAACAGCTTTCTCTGGATGTTTCAATAGTTTGGTTTTACAATTTTCTCCTTTCCTAAAAAAGTGAAATGATCACCAGCCCTGTCTTTCGGGTGGGGTACCTGAGGGCTCGGCTCCAGCATGTTAGAATTAAGCCGCCCAAGCAAAACATTCTTCAGTTTAGCAGAGATTGATTCATTTACAGTGTCTTTGTACAATATCAAAAATATATACATTTTGATATGTTTTTGGCACCTCAAAATTGTCAGAAATGAGTTCTCTGGGCCTAATTCTTCATATTTTCTGAGTACAAAATCTAAGCCCCAGTACCAATTCATTCCTTGTGATAGGGCTGATAATCACTCCAAATTTCATTAAAATCAGATGAAAACTGTAATATGTAAGTTAACAAACAAATTTTGATGCATTTTTACTAAGTGAAGTGTAATAACTCAAAAATCATCCATAGAAAAGCCGTCAAATTCGAACCTGACCAAGATCTCATTGTTCTAGATGATCACATGAAATTTCATTAAAATCAGATAAAAACTGTAGTCTCTGTTGTGTTCACAAACTAATTTTGACGCGTTTTTACTAAGCCCAGGGCAATAACTCAAAAACCATTCATCAACAACGTCAATTTCGAATTAGACCAAGATCTCATTAATATAAATGATCACACCAAATTTCATTAAAATCAGATAAGAACTGTAGTCTCTATGGTGTTCACAAGCTAATAGTGGACAGACAGACTGACAGGACAGGGGTGGCACCAGAGTACCAACGACAATATATGACCACATTAAAATGAAAAAAAAACAGTCTCAATTTTTAAACAGAATACTGAGCTGTTACAAAAAATTATTCATGCTCATTCAATATTTGTTTTTGTTGAAATGTCATCTTACCTTTTCACCATAATAAAACTTGAGATTAACTGCTGCCATGGACAAATCATCAAAAAGACGTAAAACAGTTCGACAACCATTGAATTCTTGAGCAATAATGTTAAATTTAGTGTTGAATGGTGAATTACCTGATCCACCAATTAACATTGCTATATAGGTACCTAATCTCATCACTCTATCACGTCCTCTATAAGTCTCTAGTAATTTAACTAGTTGCAGAGCCATTGTATACTATCACTTATTTGTTTAGTTTTTATCTGTAACAGAAGAAATTAATTACAACTGAAAATTTTAATACTGTAGTATGCCTACTCTTCGTTTAATTATTGTTATAGTAGGCCTAATGAATTAATAATATAGGCCTACAAATTGTTAACCTACTGACTGACATTGTCTGCAGAATGACATGTGTAGTAGATGTAGAGGTATGTTAATATTTTTATCAATCTTTAAGGATAAAGTCCAATATTATAATGGGCATGATCTGTTGGCCTAACTGAGTTCAGAACTTTTTGTTATAAAACAATAACGTGATAGGATAACAAAAGTGTTTCAGGTTAAAATATAATACTTACTTCAGTGGAAAATGGTTGTATGACATTAAGAGAGTGGTGTGATGTATATTGTTAAAATAAGTTATTAAATTCGCATCACATAAACAAACTGAAAGTAGTCCAGAACGCAAATGGAGACAACTATAATATACCTGACTAAACACCTTAATGCACTCAGTTCAACAACAAAAAAAATGAACAAGTTTTCTTTTTTCGTCCGTCTCGATACACGGTAATATTTATATTATTGTAATATACAAGTGTAGCAGGAGGTAATCTAGGGCAGTTATTTCAGACCAAAAACCCCCAACCCAAATATCAATCCTGTTGTGTCTCAATACACTAGGAGTTCCAGTTTCTATCAGGATACTGTGATCTCAATGGGAAGTAATAAATAATTAAACAAAAAAACATTTATTAATGTAAGACAAGACATCACAGAACGAATTTCAAACAATACATTTACACAAACATTCAAAACCCCCGATTCAAGACCATAGTCCCCGTTTTAGATCAGTCTATCTTAACGAGCGGAACGTTATGTTCCCGATTCAGATTTGATTGTAAACCAAACCGACCAAGGGCAACTACAACCCCAAATCAAACAGCCAGATTGTCTGACTAAGGTTCTATGAGTGGAGTGTTATAACTCCCACAGAACGAACGTGCTTACCCTGAGCCGTCTACCGACCGACTGCCTGAAACAAGGTACAATCGAACTTTTTATAGTGTTTGCTCACGAAAATCCCGTGCAATGCTAAAGTCAACTCTCATTGGTCGAATCCACATTCGATTGATGAAATGCCATAACGTACAAAACAATCCGGAAACTCCAACTTCCGGTTCATATCAAATTACGGTATATTAAATATGCCACCTGCTACACATGTACATATAGTATATAATCATGACTTATCTTCTTTTCCCCCAAAATCTATGCCTTTTTAAACATGAGCAGTACTCGTTGACTCTTTTTCGAAATCACTTTTCAACCTAATGCACGATTTTACAGAATTCATTGAGAGTTGTGCCAGGAATAAAAGGCGCGCGTTTTGCGAGTTTCTTACACCTTTAAAAGAGAAATAGCCTACCCTTATTTTCAAATATCCGACCATATTTTAGCAGAAAACCATCAACATTTTAATCCTGTAAGTCCGTATGTATCGGACTTGTGCAACCCCTGCTCAAATTAGAAGGACCAAAATTCAGTCTCAATTTAAAATAGAGCGTCTGGGATATAATACTTTAACCCGAGCGTCTTGGATATAATACTTTAACCCGAGCGTCTTGGATATAATACTTTAACCCCTGAAAATTCATCAACATGTCATTTAGCCAACGTTTCAACAACTAGCCAAAAAAATCTAGTTCAATGGTCACCGACAGAATCATACAAATGTGTAGGCACGAGTTGCATCCCTTGTCGCAAAATATCTTTTCTCAAGAATGTTTAGGGCCTTTTCAAATGAGAGGGCAAGCCGGTTAAAACCAGATTATTCACTTTTTCTCTCTACGGATGGCAGATTATACTAGGCTTGAGCTTCATCATCTTAACAAATTGGAAGTCTATAGCTCACTTGTTATTGCTGAAATCTTGTAGGTACCACCCTTTATTTCATTTTCATTTTTCCAAACATAAAGCCAAAATATATGAGTCCTAGCCGGTTCATAAGTCAGACAAAATCCTTTATTCCCGAAGCCAGGCGCTTGTGGTTATATCTCCAGGAATGCAGGTTTTAAATATCATAAAATCCTGGGCCGAATGAAAAATGTTCCCACCAAGGAAGCTCTATTCTTTGAAACTATTCTAGGTATTTGTAAGTCAGACTATCGGGACTATTCCTCGTAGAACTGACAAAGGCGTCAGAATTGTTGTCTTTTTCTTTCTAACTTGAGGATTCGTGCTCACGGCACCACCTCGCTACCGACTGAGCTATTCCACTGCCACAAAATGACAGTGTTCCAACCCACAAAAGTTAGAGGGAAGTAGACAAAGTGAGTTATTAACTCAAGGAGCTGCACGGGCAATGATAGATATTAGAGCAGAGCGGACACCTGGCCGATTCTCGGAAGCACCGACACAGGCATCAGAAGTTTTCTTACCCTCATGATGAACTCCTGGGCCCCGACGTCCACATGCTGACAATGTCCCAAATTCTATACTGGTGTTTCAATGGGACTATTTCACGTTGTGTGATGTCTTTGAGACAACATAAATTTACAAAAGAACACTATTTAGTTATTCCGATTTATATAAAAACAGTTGTTGTTAAAAAAGAAAATATAAAATGCAAGTAAATATATACAATACCACAAAAAATTATTTTGTTAAACGAGAATTAGTTAATTATTTAAATCACAATTCGAAGCACTTGGTCTATTTTTAGAGTTGTGACCAATTTACAGCATTATTTTTGGTTATTCTGGATGGTTATCCACTACTGGTTCAGGATTATCTAAAACAAAATGATAAAAACACTATCAAAAGTTGGTATCAAACATGATATAAAGATTTTATTGCTGTAGATAATGTTAATGTGCTGTAGATAGCATATTGTAAATAGTATGTGTATATATACATGTAGCATTATTGTTAAAAGCGTGAGCTATTTTTGTTAAAATATATTATGATGTGAAAGGTAAGCAGTAAGGTATTGCCAAAGCAGTAAGTGTAAAAAGGCTCCAGTAGATTTCCGTAAAAGAACTTACTATTTGGAATGGACTCATAATGGTCGGGAGACAGATCCCCAGATATATCTTCATACAATGACACCATTGGGCCCTGTTTTGATTTTAGATCAGCAAAATAAAGCTGCTTGTTCCCAACTTTCAGATCCTCTTCTAAAAGCAGTATGAAAATGAAATCTGTTGTTTCACTCTGACAAGATATAGTATACATGTATAGTGCAGATAAAGAATAGTAGGCCTAAACAAAACAACACTGTACAAGTTTTGCTTTTCCTAACAGTGGTCATGCATTTGTATTGTCGCTGTTAATTTACCTGCCAAAAGAAAAGATTGCTGATAGATAGATAGTCCATATAGTCCCTAGTGAACTATATCCCTATAATATGGAATCTCGGCTTCAGTAACATCCAAACGATTCACAGAAAAGGCAATTCTATTGGTCTCAATTGCAGTTGAGCACAGTATATATTTCAATTAGTAGGATTAGATAATCATGCAAAAAGATGAGATCGTAAAAGGTCACAAAAAAATGAAATTTTTAAATCTGGCCAAAATAAACCTCTGTTCATCAGTGGACTTACCTGGTGTCAAAACTAGTGGACAGAATCTATCTAAAATCCAATAAATCCACCAAACTAAGTAATATGTCATTAAACTAGGTAATTTTGAAGCATGCTTAGTGTTAGGGTGTATTGAGACGAGTCTCAATGAAAGCACTGGCCTAGGTCACAGAGCAATAGATAAGTCTTTTAATTATGTGAAAATTAGTTAGTCATTAGTTTAATGGTTATATGATCTTATATAGTGATTATATTATGTAGTCATGGCACCTGGTAAGTCTAATTGATGAATATACTCTTATTGACCAAGTTTGAGACTTTAAATGAAAGCACTGGCCTAGGTCACAGAGCAATAGATAAGTCTTTTAATTATGTGAAAATTAGTTAGTCATTAGTTTAATGGTTATATTATCTTATATAGTGACTATATTATTTAGTCATGGCACCTTGTAAGTCTAACTGATGAATATACTCTTATTGACCAAGTTTGAGACTTTAAATTTTATGTCCATTCTAAGAGGTAATATACCTTTAAGTGATTATTATCGGTAAACCTATAATATCATTATGTATTACTTTCTAAATGGAAAACTCCTTTAAACTAATTCTTTGAAATGCGGGTGTATGAACATGTATAATTTAGAATTATACAAATCGGAGATGGTATATACATGTAGATGTACAGAGGACAGAATGAGAGTCAAATGATACCATTATTTTGACTTCTTATTTTTATTTATTATAAAGTGTCATGTAATTGTACGTAATCTGGTTATAATGCTCTTAAGACATATAGAAATAGGTATAAATTTAGAGGCACAAAATAAATGATAACATGTATACTATTTTGACGTTTTCATGCCGGTATGACTCAAGAGTGTTTCAAGAGATTTTATTTTTGAGCACAATAAACAGAGAGAAAATGTATTTTGTAACATTGTTTGCTTTTTTATTAATGTCTTAGTCCAAAGACACTTATAGCTTAAATATACTAACCATCACTATCTTCATCATCATCATCATCACTGATGCTTTTATTTGCAGCACCCCTTGGTGTTGTGTTATTTTCGTAGAGATGAGTGTTTGCGTTAGTGTTGTTTAATTTAGCCAAAGAGTTTAATGTCGTTTGGTAAGCAGGTTGAGACAGAGTTCTGCTGGCACCGGATGTTGTTGGAGGGTTGGAATACACAGGGTTGTCTACACCAATTACACCTGAAAGAATCGTTTCATTATGGCTATTCTGTGATGTATAAAAATAGATAAACTGTTTTACGTTTTCTTTATTGACAACAGTCGAAGTGTTCAAATTATAAAGAATTCTCGTGCATATAACGGTATTGAATTGTATGCGACGTGAATTTAACAGGCTATACCTTGTACCTCTCCATTAAATTGTGAAATATCAGGACGTCGAATTCCACACCCAAAAGTAATACAAATGACCGAAATAGAGCTCTATCAGTCGTTAACGCAACATAATAAATTTGTACCTACCTTGACGTATATTACCAACAGTTGGTGATATGACTGTATTTTGATTATTAGATTCGTAAATAGCCATCATTGTATCTCTTTTCATTCTTTTCATCTTTCTGAGAAAAATAGCAACTACTATGATAACCACCAAAACTAACAAAATAGCTACACCAATAACAGCTCCTATCATTGGATCAAATGTTGCAGCATCTGATGTTGGTACCTTATTATCATCATCTTTTACTGTTGGTGCTGGTGCAGCTTGATTTCCCTTTACACTTTTCTCTAAAATATCAGAATGAGTCCAGAAAATGCCCAATCACAATTATTATTTTTAAAAAAAAACTCAAGATCTGCTGCCGAAAAAGCCTTACGTCAAATTATAGTTATACGATATACCGACGAGATAGGTCGTTTAGATCATCAGAAGGCCTGTTCCCATTGAAATAATTCTCATAATTAAGTCATAAATCTTCAGATCTTCGTAATTCGTAATTGAAAGAACTATTATAGATATTATTATCTATAGAAAATTCATCAGTCATTAGCCAAACATAATTTAATTTCATACAACAAATTGGTAAGACCAGATGTTTAACATACCAAGGCATCCAGAAATAACATCACAATATTCGGATGTTTTACACTGACATTTCGAAGCACAGTTTTTCCCGTAATATCCTGCATAACATCCTACAGATATAAATACAATATACATTACGTGTATCTATTTGATAAGGGTAATTTCGGAAGCCGGCTGCGGCCCACGAGAAGTCGAAAGACGACAAAGCGAGGAAAAAGGCAAGAAAACGAGGATAAAATGTCACTTTCTTCACTTCTCGCCTATTTTACTCTCTCTTTCTCGCCTTTTTCTCGTCCTTTTCCTCGCTTTCTCGTCCTTTTCCACGCTTTCTCGCCTTTTCCTCGCTTTCTCCTCACTCGTTAAAAAATATTAAATATTCAAAACAATGTATTAAATTTCAGAATTTTTTACACATCAAACAGTGTAAAGTATAAAGCCATTTGATTAAAAAATAAGATGCAATTGTCAATTAGTGGTGTTCATTTAAATCAGTGCTTATCATCAGTGGTATCATTTCGATCTTTGATGTCACCTTATACGTGTAATTAGATTGATGTAAAATATCAGGGGATGATTGTAGATATCCCCAGAAACTAGTTCAAAAACCTTACGTCGTTCACATTGTACACCATTGTAACCACTAGGGCACTCACAAATACCATCTGTAGGTCGACATTGCCCATTATTCTGACAATCACATCGGAAGCTACAATCTTTACCATATGTTCCAGCTTGACATTCTGAAGTTCAAATTTACAGTATTGACCATTCTGTGTCATCAAAAGAGATTTCTTGATATTAGTGAATGGTAGAAATTGCCGAATTTAAGTTCGATGATTCACATTCAGTGAAGGACAGGTGGTATATTGACATATTTACGCCAATATTCCTATTATGCAATGTTATTTCACCCGTTGGATAGTGCGTTTCAAAAATAGTGTATTTCGATTGGAATTTTCTTCTTTCGTGTCAAATTCGATCATCGAAGCAAAAATAACTTTATGAAAAACCTATAACTAGCAATATATTATACTTACGTATATGACATAACTGACCAGTATGACCCGGATAGCAAATACACTTTCCAGTTTCATGATCACATGAACCACGATCACATCTTGGACAAGTATTTTTACAATCTTTACCATATGTTCCCAGTGGACACACTGAAATAAACCACACATGACATATACTGGATCTAAAACTAGATATTGAAATATTTTATTACTCAAAATACCTATTATATGACTCTTTTATATATGGAACTCGACCTAACTTAGAGATTTGAAGTCTAATGGCTTGGTCAATACAACGGAAGTGCATAACACTGTACCAACTTAGAAAGCAACAAAATGTTCTCTTGGCAGAGTGTTCAGATTATCCTATATACGCATACCTTCATCACAATATATGCCACGATATCCTGGTTCACAAATACACTGACCACTGACGGCACTACATGATGTAGCTTTCTTACATTGACACTTCTGGGAACATTTTATTCCAAACGTTCCCTTAGGACAAGCTGTAGTAAAAAATAATTATTTGTTAATTACATTGTATGATTACCTGAAACTTTAAACTGAAAATATGAAGTTATTGCTTATTTAAGAACTTAGCACAGATATATTACATCATCCAGCTTAGAGGTACATTATTTCGTGTTTGGTTAGGTTCAAAGGGTCTAATATCAAAAGAAAGTATGTAAACAAGAACTTTTATAAGCCTGCATTTGACATTTGACCAAGAAGAGGGTCTACTATTATAGTATATAAATAGAACAGCTTTTTAGAAAATGAGCTCAAATGACTAATTTTGATAATGATATCGAAATCAATGTTCATAAATACTTACGCATTGAGCAATCTGAATGAGTCCAACCAGCCTGACATTCGCAAACTCCCGTAGAATCACAAGTACCTCTATTATTACATTGACAGGTAGATAAACAGTCTTCACCCCAATAACCGTCAGCACAACCACTATCACAGGTGGCGCCTACGAATTATTCAGATGATGGGATAAGATATTGGATAGTAACAATAGAATGATATTAGATAATATCATAACGGGTACCTAAACGTAATCTCTATCATCTTGTAAGGCAAGTAATTGGTATATTTTTCTTACCTTGTATGCCATTTTTACAATGGCACTGCCCTGTAATGTGATCACATTTGTCTGTGTTGTCTACATTACAGTTACAACGTTGTCTACATCCAAAACCAAAGGTGTTATTCTACAGAAAAGAAAAAAATGTCACCATTTTTTTTATTTTTCATCATTTTTATACGAAAACACCAGGTTCGTATTGAGTATCGTGCTTACTTATACCAGAGTCATTTGTTTCGAAATCATCATGTATATTGAACCACAAATGAATTGTCACACTGTAGAAGATTATGTATTTCAAAGATCTAAGGTTTTTCTTTACATATCTAGGGACATTGGCACCAGAAAGATGTCACTAACCCCCAAGAATCACGTGAGGGCTCGCTCACCTTACGTGTACTTGGTGTAATTTGCGAAATCATCATTCTGAAAAAAAGACGCAACTGGCCTCACTTGGTATAAAAGGCACTCCAAATTACCACTCTTCGTTTCCGTAACAATGCAAACTATTCAGTCGACAACATATCTGCAGTGCTCCCAATGTAAATGTCTCGTTTGTGCGACGTTTCTTTTGTTGTTCAGCGCATACAGTTTTTGTTACCTCCCTTACAGAAGGAATTTATCTTGTGATATGCTATTCCGAGATAGGTGCAACATCGCGTAAGTGGTGTCAACTAAATTATGAAAAATAATCAAATTTAAATTTCAAATCACTTACAGAACATTTTTGTTCGCAGTTTGTACCTTGGAAACCCCGAGGACAAATACAGAAACCATCTTTAGGGTGACATTCAGCATTATTAGCACAAGTACAATTGCCTCTACATCCTTTACCATATCTATTAGCTGGACAATGTTGATCACAGAAGATCCCTTGCCATCCTGAAAATAGAGTTATGGATATGGTCTTGATACTGGTGATTTCCACACTTAGTACAGAGACATTTCAATAAACTATGGAAATCTTGTCCATGTAACAAAATCGAGCAAAGTCATAATGCCTTGCTACGTACCTGGTTCGCAAGTACAAGCGCCGTTAACAGGATTACAGACTCCATCATTTCTACATTCGCATCTCTGTTTACATTGAATACCATAAGAACCAGATGGACAGGTATCAGCACAACTATAAATATAAAGAACACTTTAGCGTAGGAAAAGAAAAGGAAATTTAGTGAATAGAGCGGAATTGCGCGGTGAGTGTAACTTAATTTTAGTAAACTAAATCATTATAAGTTTAATTATTAATTATTTTATCATTATCATTTTGAAAAACAATTAATATGATTTAATTATTAAATAATCTATTATTATAATTTTGCCAATCACTTGATATTATTTAGCTATTAATTAGTATATTATCACCATCAACAATGAACATTGTCATCGATATCCAAATCTTATTGGATTGGTTTGGGATTGAATCTATACATTCTGAAAACGGGGGTCTTACAACAACTGATGTAACTCGGAATTTGGTTGGGGCAACAAGCCGTGAATACACGAAGTTTTCTGAAGGAAAGGGTTTTGGAGCCAGCATTAAATAAGATAGCTTGCCAGGCAAGGTAACATACGCCCATTGGCAGCTGTCAGAAATGATAAAACAGTCTTTAGTGACTAAAGTATGAATTTTCTCATATTAAAGAAATTTAATATTAATATCAATAACCCAAATACATTAAATTATCGCATCAATATACATGATTACACCATGTTTCATTAAAATCAATTGAAAACTGTAGTCTCTAATGTGTTCACAAACAAAAGTCAAGGGCAATAACTGAAAAACCGTTCATCGAAAGATCGTCAAATTCGAACTTGACCAAGATCTCATTAATATATATGATCAAATCAAATTTCATTAATATCAGTTGAAAACTGCAGTATCTATTGTGTTCACAAGAAATGTTGACGGACCGACGGACAGGGGCGACGGCAATATACGTCCACATATCCATGTGGGCGTATAAAAATCATATCAATTGATTGTTAGTGTTAGTATGAATAGGAGTTCTAAAATTAATGGAAGAAACATAGTTGTTGTGATTATAAAATATGTTTTAAGATATTCTTTCGTTGTCAATCATAAATTTATGGGCAGCCTTTGGCACAACTTTTGTCTCGATATTTAGATCTTTTCTTACCAAATTCGAACAATTAGGAGAGTTCAGAAATTCTGAATTTTACACCCCACCGGCCATTGCGCCATTAACGTAACGATAAGTGTTTTTTTTTTTAAGTCTTGACAAGAATCGTTTCCAGTACAGACAGATGATATATTCAGTTTTTGATGAGACAATGAGTAGGCCTATTGACCAGACTTGAATGGAATGCGGACAGACATAAAAGAATAAATTTGAATTGACTGTTTGAGTTCACGCAATGAATCGGGTTAAAGTCGTATTCAAGTTACTTCCCTTGAAGTATAAATTTTTATATAAATTGACCTCAAGTTTGTGTTTGTTATTTTCTATCGCCTCAACGGCGTTGTACTAGCAGTGCTTGCTTAATTGATTAGCGTATTGTAGGTATACAATATCTTGAAAACCGGGCAAATGTTTCGAGAAACCCGACAATAAATGCTCTAATAATTCGACATTTATTTCGTCGTTGTAATGGGACCAGTCTTGTGTTTTCATTTTCGAACAATAAGAGGTACAAAACGATACGTACGTTACTCCAGTTCTACCAGCCGTACATCGACATGCACCTGTTACGTGATCACAAACGGCACCTGCACAGTTACATGTCTTTGAACACCGTGGACCATAGTATGGCAAAAGGCATTGATTCTGACAGTTTACACCAGTCCAGCCTGGCATACAATGACATTCACCATTTGTGGCGTGGCAAGAATCAGTAGTATTCCAATTACAATCACACACATACTGACATTTAGAACCAAATAAATTCCTGGGACATTCTACAAATAATTATTTTAAAATAACTTTATAATTCACTATCGGTTGTCAACATTTATTTTTATGTTTTATAGAAATCGTGTGTTAGAACTGATTCTGTCGAGGCACGAAGCCATTTAAGTATTTGCTTTCCATGACATAGGAAGGTCGAAACTTAGTCTTAAACCACTCTTAGCACTTTCTTAGCGCTGTTTAATAAAAGATAACATAGCTTTAAAATCATACGACCTTGGAGACTCTTAGTAATGAAATTATTCAACGATTAGGTCGAAGTAAAACTTGAAACAATATACAAGACAATTATTATGAGCTTACTTCTAACTTGACATTTGTTACCAGTATAACCTAGTGGACATAAACAAGCACCATTCACAGGCGAACAATTTGCTCCATTACAATCACAGTATTCGGTACAATTTCCTCCATATCGTCCTTGAGAACACTGTACATCACAACTGTAATAGATAAAAGCAAACTCATTACATGGTATAGTATTGCCATTGATCCAAACAGATCATATCTGGGGTTGAGCTGTATCACAACCGGTTAAGGTGTTAAAATCCTGACCTCATCTATATATCCTAATCAACCCAGGTTTAATCCGGGCCAGATCTGTACCAAGAGGATGTAGGACGTCCAAACTGAACTCCTGCAATCTTACCTGGATCCCATAAACCCTGTAGAACAGTGACACTGACCATTATATCTATCACAACTAACTATATTTCTACTGCAAGGACATTTAGTTGCACAATTCAAACCAAAATAACCTTTATCACACGGTAGATTACAGAATTTACCCTACAAATATAAATCATGTCATTTACTGGACAAAAACCAAGTATCAAAAAATCAACAGTGTTAATGCATATCATATTTATTATCTAGCAAAGTTCATATGTCTAGAACCGAACATAATTATGTTAATATGGTTCATGTCAAATACTTACAGTCGAACGCTGTAATTTTTATATACACGTATAGTTAAAACGGACACAACTAAATGAAGTATTTAAGTCAAGCTGAAATCCAGTTTTAAGTAATCCAACTACCAACTACTACGACTACCAACAACTACCTAGTTTGCGATATCAGCATCTAACAACGGGAATGGGTCAGACTGAATAATAACGTTGGTTCTACTTAGGCATGTCCGATATCAATGCAACCTAGCTCTTGTAGAACTTACATGTTTTCAAATATTTGTTATAGGGAAAAAAGTATCGATTATATAAATATGATACCCACCATCCACCCAGCTTTACATGCACATTGTCCAGTTTCAGAATCACAAGTCGCATTGTTCTGACATTGACAAACCTGGGAGCACCCTGAACCATGTGTGCCTGGTGGACAACTCAATTCACATCTATAGAAACGAAAATAATATATGTACATGTAATAGTGAAATAGTAAAAAGTTTATCTTGTATTTCAAAGTAAAATAAGCAAAAACCAGGCGGATGTAGAGCACTCAACAGAAAGCGAGTACTCCTTTCTGTGCGGACATATTTGCCTGTATATACTGTAAGAGCTGCTTTTACTTGATTTTATTTTTCTTACAATTTTGATACATTGATTGCAGACAAGTATTTGCTTGAAGGACATTGATGTCACCGAGTTGATATCCTGATAACATAATATTACTTACAAGGCTCCAGTAAAACCATTTTTACAATGGCAGGCTCCATTAACAGGATCACAGGCAGCATCATTCTGACAACCACAATGATACTGGCAGTTTCTACCATAGGTACCAGCAGGACAAACTGTCTGACATTTCTCTCCTGTATGACCTGTAACAGCATATGAACGCGTTTCATAAATCTAGAATTTTTTCTTTAGATAAAAATAGACTAATTAAAAAAATACAAGCTAGCGACTGGTAGCATCAGGAGGAATCTGATTAATCATTGGGATTAGTCATTACCATTTCAATTACATCAAATTTCAGGAACCATTGATGCAATTTTTGCCGAAATCTAGTTGCTGTTATATCTAAATATATCGAGATAATCATTGATTTCTTACCAGGTGAACAAACACAATATCCTGTTATAATATCACATACACCTTGTCCATTACAATCGCATACATTATTACAATTTTCACCCCATTTTCCTTGTGGACAATCTACAATACAATACAAAACAATTCCTTTACAAATCCCAATCCTGTATCTTTACCCCAATATGTAATCTTTAAAAAGTCCAGAAAAATGTACTTTACGAATATATTGTATTCTGTTGAGAAAGCAACATGAAACATTTGATAATAAATGGATGCTCACAAATTGTTGCACTTACTTGAGTTGCACCTGTCGCCTCTCCAACCAGCATCACAATGGCATAGATTTGGTGCTACACATTTACCATGTGAACAACTATTAACACAATACGCTGAAAGTTAAAATGTTGTTTTCCTTATCATATGACAGCGGACTTAAAAAGAGAGAAATTTGCTGAAAACAGTGTTAAATATTTAGTGTTTTACACTTTAATTTCTGATTAATGATGTGCAAATAAAAAATACAAAACACCATCTCTTCAGTTGCTTGAGTTCTAACTATTGTATCAGCAAGTCAAGCTGGTTTCGCAATAGACAATAAATGTACTTACGGATACAACCGTGTGTAGAATCAATGTAGCCTGGACAACACTCTGGTATCTTAACTATTGTTGTATCATATATTTGTCTATATTGTTTACTATAGGTTGTACTGCAACAATATATGCAATGTTTACAGTCCTTTCGTAAGAATCGCAAGGCTTATTAGTGACGTATGATTGAAAATTGGAATGGTGCAAATTGATGCTATCATACACAAAATGATTTTAGCAAACCTCTTTACAATCCTTTTACAAATATATACATCTCTTTGCTCTTGATTTTGTTCACTATGGCAATTTCAGGGAATAGTGTATACCCAATGAAGTCAGTTATCAGTCACTTCCTGATGAAGATTATGTGTCCAAACACGTCTCTGCAAAATTAGTAAATTAGTTATATTTGATATATACATATATCATTACGGAAGCGATTCGCTAGAATGTTTTTTCTGAGAAGTGTAATTAGTGTAAGCATCTAACGACCTGTGTAGGGATTGTTCATAACAAAAATCGAACTTACTAGCAGCGTTCACATCTGAAACTCTGCCAACACCAATAATGTGTACAAGTTTTATCTGGTATAGCTACTGTTATACGCTTGGTGATAGTTTTACTGTAAAATAAGATAGCTTGTCAAACATTTAACTAAAATGATTTTAAAACAAGAACAGCAACGGACAGACAGCTGTCTTATTATTATTTACATTGTTCTAACACTATCATGGACATTTAGGAAAAAAATTGTTTACATATTTTGAGAAAAAGAATAATGGATGTTCTAGCCTCTTAACGCCTCTTTGTCTTAAGAAGAATGACATTACCTTTGTAATTTATAACACTGACTTTGAAACGCTGAAACTTGAACCGAAAGTACAAGGCACTGAACTAAAACCAACAAGATTTTCCCCAGCATATTACTGAAAAATATGATTAAATCTTATGAAATGAAATATATAGTGTTAGACATTTTAATGTTTAATGTTTGAATGTTTAACTATGCAGTGGTAGTTGTAGTAGATACCTAATGTTATAGTGAACTGAAATATGTAATATTAGTAATAGTAATATTGTTGTGAACTGTGCAGTGGTAGTTGTAGTAGAGACCTAATGTTATAGTGAACTGAAATATGCAATATTAGTAATAGTTAATGTGTTGTTGTGAACTGTGCAGTGTTAGTTGTAGTAGGGGCGTTATGTTAAAGTGAACTGAAATATGCAATATTAGTAATAGTAATGTCGTTGTGAACTGTTCAGTGGTAGTTGTAGTAAGGGCATAATGTTAAAGTGAACTGAAATATGCAATATTAGTAATAGTTAATGTGTTGTTGTGAACTGTGCAGTGTTAGTTGTAGTAGGGGCGTTATGTTAAAGTGATCTGAAATATGCAATATTAGTAATAGTTAATGTGTTGTTGTGAACTGTGCAGTGTTAGTTGTAGTAGGTGCGTTATTTTAAAGTGAACTGAAATATGCAATATTAGTAATAGTAATATTGTTGTGAACTGTGCAGTGGTAGTTGTAATAGAGACCTAATGTTATAGTGAACTGAAATATGTAATATTAGTAATAGTAATGTTGTTGTGAACTGTGCAGTGGTAGTTGTAATAGAGACCTAATGTTATAGTGAACTGAAATATGTAATATTAGTGATAGTAATGTTGTTGTGAACTGTTCAGTGGTAGTTGTAGTAAGGGCGTAATGTTAAAGTGAACTGAAATATGCAATATTAATAATAGTTACTGTTGCTGTGAACTGTGCAGTGTTACTTGTAGTAGGGGCGTTATGTAAAAGTGAACTGAAATATGCAATATTAGTAATAGTTATGTTGTTGTGAACTGTGCAGTGGTAGTTGTAGTAGGGGCCTAATGTTATAGTGAACTGAAATATGTAAAATTAGTAATAGTAATGATGTTGTGAACTGTTCAGTGGTAGTTGTAGTAGGGGCTTAATGTTATAATGAACTGAAATATGTAATGTTAGTAATATTAATGATGTTGTAAACTGTTCAGAGGTAATTTTAGTAGGGGCCTAATGTTATAGTGAACTGAAATATGTAATATTAGTAATAGTAATGATGTTGTGAACTGTTCAGTGGTAGTTGTAGTAGGGGCTTAATGTTATAATGAACTGAAATATGTAATGTTAGTAATATTAATGATGTTGTTAACTGTTCAGAGGTAGTTGTAGTATGGGTCTATTGCTATAATGAACTTAAATATGTAATATTAGTAATAGTAATGTTGTTGTGAACTGTTCAGTGGTAGTTGTTGTAGGGGCCTAATGTTATAATGAACTGAAATATGTAATATTAGTACATGTAGTATTGAAGATATGATGAACTGATTTATGTAATGTAAATTAAAGTAATGTTTATGGTGAACTGAAATACGGATTTGAAAATATGTTGAATTGAATTGTATTGTTCATAGCAAACATAAGGATCAAACTTTGTCATTTATTTATATTGTGAAAATCAGGTGTATTAATAGCAATTTATCTTATATACTTTCAATAATCTAATACGGCTTTGCAACAAAATTGAATCTTTTCATTAAATTAGTTTAATTAATCACAAATTAGAGATTAATGGTTGTGGTAGTGGCCTACTGTTATAATGAACTTAAATATGTAATATTAGTAATAGTAATGTTGTTGTAAACTGTTCAGTGGTAGTTGTAGTAGGGGTCTAATGGTAAAGTGTACTGAAATATGCAATATTAGTAATAGTAATGCTGTTGTGAACTGTTCAGTGGTAGTTGTAGTAGGGGCTTAATGTTATAGTGAACTGAAATATGTAATATTAGTACATGTAGTATTGAAGGTATAATGAACTGATTTATGTAATGTAAATTAAAGTAAAGTTTATGGTGAACTGAATTACGGATTTGAAAATATGTTGAATTGAATTGTATTGTTCATAGCAAACATAAGGATCAAACTTTGTCATTTATATACAGTGGTGTAACCTATTTTCGTGGATATAAGGATTCAACACCGAATTTCGTCAAAGTTAAAAAACGAAAAAAAAAATTTATGTCTTAGATGTTTCCTCAGATATTCTACAAAATAATTAAAATTGGTTTATTTCGATTTTCTTTATGAATCCTTCACTTTGACCCATATTTCATGAGCAACCAACTCGGCAACGGCGGCAGAATGCGTCACCTATTTTCGTGTACATTGTTTGATCTATAATTAAGTCTAGAAAAACACGTTGTATGGATACCGGGTGGTATAATTAACTTCTCTTAGTATTTATCTTTAATATCAATTCATTATAACTAGTGACAATTCCTCCAAAGAACCACGATTTTAAAAAAAAATAGTGACTGACAAAATAAGATACGTAGCGTGATTTATTGCTAAAAGTCACTGAAACAACATAAGAATAAGGTCCACTTTGTGTTCCATAGAAATTTTCTGCTGACATGGAATCCGCTAGTTGATCACGTGACTTCATTCGTTTGAATATATTCTAGCAGACGACATTTGGAATTCCGATTACCGTTTGGGATTATGAGGAATTTCGGCCGATAAAAAATGGTGACGTTTGGTAATAAGTGAAACCCGCCATTTTGTATTTGTCAAAATATACATTATTACACTTTACCTTTCTTAAAACTACTGAATTCATTCTACTAGCTGATATTGTACAGAAAACCCATGTTTATCAAAACAAACTAATGCGGAGGTCGCGCAAGGTCGCTCGTGAAATCATTAATCCTTTCCGGAAATCCACGAATAATAGGTTTCCACGAAATTAGGTTACTTGACTGTATATTGTGAAAATTATGTGTATTAATAGCAATTTATCTTATATACTTTCAATAATCTAATACGGCTTTGCAACAAAATTGAATCTTTTCATTAAATTAGTTTAATTAATCACAAATTAGAGATTAGGTGGTTGAACAGAAGCTACTGACACAGGATGAAGTACTATATAGACCTGTCACAAATTAAAGTGAGGTAAAACCAGTTCTCATGTAAAGTGTGAGAAAAGAAAGACTATTCGGAGGTACCTCCTTTCATACACCTTAATTAATCTTTTAATTACAATAATTTACAGTTATCAACTTTTTTAATTGGGTAATTGTCATTTTTAATTATTGTCATCAATTAAACCCTTCTTGTTTGCTATTTGTTAAGAATAATAGTAATATCAGTTATAAATCGTGTATACAACACATATAATTATTAAAAAATATAGAAAAAAAAATAATTTGAATTAGGGAAAATATAATTACAGATTTCTATATCTAAAATGAAATAAAATATGTTATTCAATCAAATTCTCCGTCCTTACCCTAAGCTTACATATATATATATATATATATATTTATATATAGAGAGAGGAGGAAACCACTAGGGTGGAAATTGTAAAGGGGGGAAACCACTATGGGAGGAAGTTGTAAAGGGGGGAAACCACTATGGGAGGAAGTTGTAAAGGGGGGAAACCACTATGGGAGGAAGTTGTAAAGGGGGGAAACCACTATGGGAGGAAGTTGTAAAGGGGGGAAACTACTATGTGAGGAACTTGTAAAAGGGGGAAACCACTGTAAGCCACTGAAAGATAGTGAAGCTTATATTATTATATTGTATAGCTGTAATAAAATAATCAAATTCATTCTCCAATCCAATTTGTCAATTTCACCATTTTTCGAACTGAAAAGTTTATCAATTTCGTATGCGTGTTAAATGTTTTAGATCTATAATCTTAAAAAAACTAGGATTGAATTAAGTTTAATGTGTATTTTAACATGAAAAACTCGTTTTAAATGACATGTTGTAGAAATGTAAGTGTCACAATTTTTTGATGTAAGTAGAAAATCATGTATGATTCGTGTCTGCATTAAAACTTGCCATGTGGATAATTTATGATGACATGAATAGAGCCCGTACATTTAGCCATACAAAACTCGAGATGACTAATCATAACAACAAAATTATATAAAAAAGTAAGTCAGGTATAGGACAACCCATGGACCTGTAAAGATGATGATGATGATGTACTATTTATAGTACTATGGGTCAACGTAAAGATTATTTACCATAACAATCTTTTCAAGCTTCACGATTCTTCTACTATGAAGACCAAGAATTTTACCAAAATGAAAAAATATTTTAACTTTCCCGATATTGGTTGGAAATGGTTTGGGCAGTCTATTTTATGACTTCGCTATCAAAGATAACATTTTGTTCCATTTTAAATGCAGAAAAACCCAATCAGTTGATAAAGACTATACACTGTAGGAAATCAAACCGCTAGAGGCACAATAAAAACAGAAAATGAAATTAAGGGCTTTGTCTCCAAGTTCCAACACATGAAATTTAACGTCTATGTTTTTGAAGTAATCACAATAACCATGTTGCTATTTTGGGACTATACTTCAAAACTAAATGATTTATTTTTTCAAATTTCTGTCTAGTAGTAATATTATATTTTCACATTCAAGAACTTCATTTAAAAAAAACCCAGAAAATATACGTAGACATATATCAATCTAACTGAAAAAATTGTGTTGAAGCTCTATTTATCATATAAGTAATATATATCATAGATGACATCTTTATATAAGTTTGACACTCTTTGTAATAAAATTAACCAAATAGCTTTAAAGTCTCCTGATAGACAGTTGATTCGGCTATGTTCAGGCTTTTGACGGAAATCGTTTAATACTTTTCTCGTCATAAACTGTGACACATATCGGTTAGTGTTAATGGACACCGGTCAGATTGACCAATGCGGCCAGAGCATCTTGAAATAACCCAGAGAATGTTTGTTGTCACTGCCAGATAAAAGCCCGTGAAAATGCAACCTTTTTATATTTTCCAATAGATGTTTGTCCTATCATTCAGCTTACTATTGTAATCTTGTTTTGCACGATTCATGGTCGATGTAGTTACCCACATTCAAAATAAAATTATGTTTAGTGGGTTGGAACGAAGGTTATGAAGTCTGAAGAGTCCGTCCTTCGCGCATCCTCCAATCCTTTACAAAGTCATGTTCAGTTGTGTTCTTCGGACATTAACACAACTTTGGTGGATTTTTTTGAGTGCATAGATTTCTTTCAATTTAATGGTTTTTGAAGTTTCCATCGATTAACGCTTGATGTTGCTTCTTTCACTGATTAATGATTTTCTATTGAAGCTGAAATTTCGAGACTATAGTACACATCCCTGACTAATTTAAATAATATTTTAATAGTAGACTCTCTATAAATATCTTTTTTTTTAAGTTTATTATCAATAGAATGAATTCCAAACTATGAAATATGTAAAAAGAACACAACAATGAATAATTGTCATACGGTGATAAAGTGTTGATATTTTGCCAGGATATTACATAATGTATACCATTAATAACCTGGTTCAATTTACAAATCTATCAGGCTTATAACTCAAAACAGGGTTGACCGAATTTAGCTTAAATCTTTTGCTAAATATTAACTTTATCAGCTTATATTGACTAATTCAAAAATACCTTTCATGAATAAAGTATTTATTATTTGTATATTAACTATGTAGATTAAATTGATAAATGAAATAAATGAATAATTGAAACAAACAGATAAGTAAATTAAACAGATGAATGAAATAAATAATATAATTTTGAAATAAATAGATAATTGAAATAAACAGAAAAGTGAATTAAATCGATGAATGAATTGAATAAATAATTGAAGTAAAACAGATAGGTAAATAGAACAGATGAATGAATAGATGATTGAAATAAACAGATCGTAAATAAAACAGGTGAATGAATAAATAATTGAAATAAACAGATAAGTAAATAAAACAGATGAATGAATAGATGATTGAAATAAACAGATAGTAAATAAAACAGATGAATGAATAAATAATTGAAATAAACAGATAAGTAAATAAAACAGATGAATGAATAGATGATTGAAATAAACAGATAGTAAATAAAACAGATGAATGAATAGATGATTGAATTAAACAGATAAGTAAATAAAACAGATGAATGAATAGATGATTGAAATAAACAGATAGTAAATAAAACAGATGAATTAATAGATGATTGAACTAAACAGATAAGTAAATAAAACAGATGAATGAATAGATGATTGAAATAAACAGATAGTAAATAAAACAGATGAATGAATAGATGATTGAAATAAACAGATAAGTAAATAAAACAGATGAATGAATAGATGATTGAACTAAACAGATAGTAAATAAAACAGGTGAATGAATAAATAATTGAAATAAACAGATAAGTAAATAAAACAGATGAATGAATAGATGATTGAACTAAACAGATAAGTAAAAAAAATAAAGGTGAAAAGGACGAATGTGCCGATTCATAAAAACCAGAATTGAGAATGAGCTATTGTTTGATTTTTGATATTTGATTTTTAATAGCCATAAACTTCATTTGGTTACTTTTTCCTTCCATATCAAAAACTCTTTTCAAACCTTTTTAGAATTTGCGAGTACATTCTGTATGGTTACATAAAAACAAATCAGACATTTCAACTATGTCCATGTTTTCAGAAGGTAAAAACGGAAAAATACTTACAAAATCTATGCAGCTGAACATCCAAAATTGAAATGATCTGATAAATAAATTCCCATTGGTTACAGTCCCTGCATATTGTGAATACCACTATCAGTTTACGATAAATCCAAATTCGGGTGACGTAGATAATTATATGCTATTTTTAACCAAGAAAATTATGATATGTGCCGCTTGGTTAACATATAATAGACAACTGCTATTAATCGTCACATAAAAATCACATATCACAGTGACATCAACTTGTCTTATATAAACTTTGTAATATAGTCATACTTGTTGAGTAACGGAAAGAACCCTGAATACCTCGCCTATGCATCCCTTTATGATATTGGGGTTACCCAAATTACATTTTGTGGATTTTATCTTGTGAAAAGATATGCCTCAAGGAAAATATATAACACTTATACCGATGTAAACATGTCTGATTATTTTGACTTTGATTTTTTAACAGAAAAACGAATCGGGTATTTCTCCTTATGTTTACAAATGTATATAGAGGCACATTTCTCAATTTTTCATTTGTACAAATGCCAATTTAGGTGCTTGGTCTATATATGAATAATGAACTGACAATTGAAAGGATTGACAGGTCATTACAATGCACTTTTTACCCCATTGTCCGTGTAATACAATGTGTAATTGGGTCAATTAGCGTACTCCGAATATCACTTTCACTGTCAGATCATGGATTTAAGTCCAAATCCAACTGTGGGCGATTGGAAATCTCAGATACAACCGGAAGCTTTGATCCTAATCAGGGCTAGCACCAGAGAACATTGGCATTTGTAATCCTTTGGCAGCAATTTAGTGAAAAAATTAGGTCGATGTTATAAAAATGTATGAGAAACATACCAGTGAGGCGATCATTGTGGACATAGTCCTCGAGAGACACAGAAGAAGACGAAGAAGAAGACTAAGGTTAAACTAAGGGAGAAACTGATAGAAGAAAAATTCTACGGAGGAAGACGCAGAGCAAACTGAAAGGAGAAACTGGCAGAAGAAAAAATTCTACGGAGGAAGACGCAGAGTAAACTAAAAGGGCAAAATGACAGAAGAAGAATTCTACAGAAGAAGACGTAGAGTAAACTAGATGGAGAAACTGGCAGAAGAAGAACTCTACGTGGGAGGGAAGAACTATGCAGAAGAACTTTACAGCTGGAAACCATATTACAGTTATCAATGAGCATATACTTGTTTCGACTATCAGAAAGCTGTTATTGTAACTCAGAAGGCAATGTTTACCATTCAAATTCTTTTATTTGTTCCAGTCATAATTGTAAATTATCAACAAAATGGTCAATAAATAACTTCAATCGTATACAAGACTCATTTTGGTATCTGCTATCAACTTGTAAACAAGTATGGAAATTGTTTTATTTGGAATGGCATGAAGTTTCCCAATGGTTGATTATGATTATTTTGAATCACGAAATGGCTGCATGTGCATATTTACACCGCCTTACTCTGGTTTGTTCAAAATTATAGTAGACTGGTATATTTCTCTTTTTTATAATAATTGATATAAAATGAATAGATTTCATTCCGTCATTCCTTTATTTCAAACAACTCATGCATGTTCCTTAAGAAACTAGCACCTACATAGACTTAGACCAAAAAAGGCCCAAAATTAACGTAGGTCATCATGCAGGAACTATTCGAAATTTCAAAACAATTACAACTTCAACCATGTGCTATCTGCAGAAATTGTCCCTGTCAACTCAATAATCACTGATAATGTGACATCAAAGCACATCGTTTAAATGACGATTGGAAGCAGTTCTACTTATTATTGATTTTGTCTTGTATAACTATAGATACCAAGACATTATTTTATAAAATACTTTGTAGATGTGTGAAACATTTATTGATACTGTTTTAACGTCGAGAACTAATATCTGTATTGTTGTTCTTCATCTTAAACAGGGTAAGACGTATTCAAATTATATATTGCTTCTAATTTCTTTTCTTACTGAGCATTACAACAATATGTGTAAGATTGTATAAAGTTCACAAAATGTACGCTAGAAAGTCAACAAATTAGGAGACAAAATTCTCCTGATCATTCGATAAGACGTGAAATCAGAGTGAATATACATTATTTGTTGATAATGATATAGTTCAATCACAGATTTAAGAAAAGTAGTATGTTTTTAATATTTTCAACAACGTCCAAGAACATGTCTGGCCAATCGAGGGTTACTGACAGGGTTCAGAAGAGATAGGAGGGAAAATTGCACAAGCAAATACTTGCCGCAACATAGTCGATTTCCGAAATTAAACTGAAAACACAATCAAAGGTTTGGAAACTGGCGATCAATGATAAAAGATCAATTCGTTATCACCTTCGACAAAAACATTTTGTCACATAACTAAAGACATATACTTGTTGTTTTGAAAAATTATTCTTTTTTTTCACATGACATCTTCCCAATGACCCCTCTCTCTCTCTCTCTCTCTCTCTCTCTCTCTCTCTCCCCTATCCTTAAATTGTCATCGACTCCATTAAATCTAAGGGTGTTCCTATATACAGGTATTATTGTATTTATTGATTGTTGCTTCCTCTTTGATTTTCCTATGTCATTCTTTAACAACTTCAGATATAGAAAATCGAACAAATCTTAAATTCATGTACAGTTTCTCTTTTACTACATTATTTTTAATACCTACAACAGCTTTTCATCTTTCCGTGATGAAAATGAGTGATGAAGGCATATGGATGGATTGATAAAAAAAAACTGGGCTGCTCGGGAGGTTCTTTTGAACACAATCTACGTCCCTACCCCCGCTTAAATCATGATATTTTTTATCTTTTTATCATTTGGAAACAAACAACACCCTTTCGTAAGCATTAGACATAAATATAAGATAATTTTGATAGGACATTTGAAAAAATTCATTCCGCATTATAGATTCCGATTATCATGGACTACGTTTTGATCTACTCGGTAGAACACAAGTTCTTCAATGTCATTCTTTGAGCTAAAACCATAGTAAAACATCCTGCTTATTTTGAATATGTTTCAGAAATGGAAATTAAATAATAGACTTACCATTATAGAGAATTTCTATTGTTTTACTTCATCTATAGAGATCAATAAGTGCTTATTGAAGCATGGGGAAATAGAACTACCATTTCATCAGATTGTTTATCAGTGAAGACGTCAACTTAATAATTAAATCTAGCGTGACCAACAAACAGCAACAATATCTACATCTAACAAACTGTACAGTATGAAAGAACAGAAAGATGGCAATGCAGTACAACTGGGAATGCTGCATCCTATTTGTGTGTCTTACGGTTGTTAGCATTAAAGGTAAGAAACCAAATGATAAATTAGAGCTACGAAACTTGAAATGAATTTGACAGCATTTGCAGAGTGGTATATCATAGAACTCTGATGAGCGAAAACAGTCTACTGGTGCACCTTTGTTGCGGAGCTATTGAACTCGTTATTCTTTTATAAAGCAACAATTTTGCATGGTTTATCCCTGTAAATTAATGAATATGATGTTTTTATTCAATAATGAGACAAATTGTGACATCAGGCAATTATCATACAATATTTCAATCAAGTTGAATTTCTATTATGTAAAAATAAGGAAATTAACAATTACAATTATTCATAAAGATACGATACTATTCATCTGAAAATGTTAAAGACCACGAATTGAATTCTTCATATAGGTTATTATTATGAGCTATTGAATTCTAAAATTACCTTTAGGCAGTGGGTCTTATATGATTGCAAGTCGACAAATCATTGTATTATTTAAATCAGACTATTTTTCTTTGATCATATAATTATGTTCATAATATAGTCGCTACAATGATTGGGCAATAAATTGAGCTCTGAGTAAAATAAACATCACACGCTTCCATCATTATCTGTAATTATCAATTTACAATTATACGAAAAACCTAGTTAATTAAATGAAATGAAATAAATGGAGTTTTACGTCCTACTTTTCAGCACCATGTGGGTTAATGAAGATGAGCAACGCCGTGCAGGGTGCATGAGAGAAATTTTGCCAGAACAGCGGCAATAGCCTGCTCTTTTTGGCAACTGTCGAGGGATCTTTAACGTGCACAGCCCAAAGCACACGGGGCCTCGGATTATTGTCCCATCCGAACGACTAGACGCTTTTTCCATGTCAGCCCCTCTTACCTGCATTACTGACAGTGGAAACCGGGTTGAAACATCCAAAGGTATTATCTCGACCTATACCGGGATTCAACCCTTAGTTAATTAAAGTCATTTATATTGGCAGGTAGAGGTCTAAATGATGATATAAGTTATTATGAACCATTGAGTTATTACACTGATGATGTTCTACACGATCACAATAGAGCTAAACGAGACCTATTCCATACTGTTCGATTGAATATCAATGCCTTTGGCAGGTAATGTTAATATAAAAAATCAATTTATTGTGTTTCATAAAGTCTTAAATGGAAAGAACTTTATTTGATTAAAATTTGAAATATCGTTCATTCCCTTTGTTATTTTATTGTTTAATCGCAATCAATATTATCAGTTTATTCTAATCTGATATTAGAAGTAACAATATAATACAAGATAGATAACAGCCGTGCTTAACTCGTCGAGTTCTGACTACCAATATTTCTCAATCATACCTCAAAACAAGGAGTTGAGGTGCCTAGCAATATATTTAATGTAGTGGTATTTGTCCAATTTTAAGACTTTCTTGTCATTTAGGGAGACGTTGGAGTAATCTAAAAAAAACATAGGTCTGTTTTGCCCTGTGTCGTTTAGACCCAAAATGTAACCCACTGAAGAACAATGCTACAGCTCATCTTTTTACTCCAATTCCTTTGATACAAGAATTAGACTGTATTTAAAATAGTAATACCACATTAATCCATTTGTGTTTTATTGTAAAGCTTTGTTCTCTTTTTAGGTCTTTCAACATAAGATTGAAACCTAACAAAGGCGTATTGTCTGATGATATAGAAGTGTCTACTAGTAATGAAGATTACCATTATGACGGCTCTGGTATTTATAAAGGCTATATAGCAAATGAAGGTGATCACGTTTTTTCTTTAATGGGTTCTTTGTTGTTTACAAGTTTCTTGTCCATTGCATTTAATGCAAACACTCAAACACGGAATTACAGCTTCATTCTCTATCGAAGGGTATGCATTGCGTTGGTAGTTGGACAGACTATAATGTACAAGAAATGAATTCTTAAGGACTCAAAATTTCGACAGATTGTCGCCAATGTATGTTAAATTTGTAATTGGGTAAATCCTTTTTTTATGGGGGAATGGCTATCAAATGGGACAGAAAGCCATAACTATTATGTCAATCTATTTCAGATCATTCCATAGTGCATGGAATCATCAACAGTCAAGGGCATTTTGATGGGAAAATATGGACTCCTTTTGACCAGTTTATAATTGGACCATCTTTAAAATATTATGAGAACGAACAGCCTTTTCATTCTATTATATATAGACTATCTGATATTACCTTTAATCAAACTAACATTGATAATAAATCCATCAGAGATCTATTGAAATTCAAAGCTAGACTCAATGTACAGGATATGAGTGTGGTCTCTGACAACCATAACACAAGACATATAAACCATAACATCCAGTATTTTCACCAACATACACGGCGACGTCGTGCAGTCCTTCAACCTAAAACAACCTGTGAACTTTATGTTAAAGCTGATAATTATTTCTATAATGCTCATGGAAACAGCCCCGATCTAGTAATAAATGAAATTGTGCAATTTGTACAAACAATTAACACCATATTTTCACCTATAGGTAGGTATTCTCTGTGAAACATGCCAACCGCTCACATTTTATGGTAAACCACACGTTCACTTAAATTTAGACTGTTTAGCTTGAAGGAATATAAGGAGTCATTTTATAAACAAATAGGTAAAAGTGGACTTATTTATATATTTAGTACACTATTATTGTGGGCCTAAACGTTTTCACTGTTGTCCTGATGACAAATATTAAAATGGACATCTATCTTAACGAGACATCCCTAATAAATGACAAGTACAACCTATAAATCTTATACACTTTCATTTTTCAGATTTTGACAGAGATGGGTCTAATGATAACATAAAATTTACCATTAAAAAGATAAAACTATATACTAATGCTTCAGATCCTGATTATGCTCGTTATGTTGGAAATATGGATGTCGTGAAATTTCTGGAAAGCCATTCCGAGGAAAATTATGATGACTATTGTTTATCTTATATTTTAACTCATAGAGATTTTGGTGAAGGAGTTTTAGGTTTGGCTTGGACTGCCTCACAAGATGAAAATCAAGTGGGTGGTGTTTGTGAAAAATACAAAGTAATGAAATTTCAGTTCTTGTCTCTTATACGTTTACGCCAAAATCAGATCCAACGAAATAGTTCATGAAATTCTGTTACATTATGTTACATTTCCAAAAACAATCAATTTTTTATGATCACAAAGTTTTAAAGGTCGAACGCAGACTGTTGTGCAGATTCTTTAAAATGATAACTAATTGATAATCTTTGTCGTAGAGTGATCATGTGTTAAGTCATATTGAACATGCTCAGCTTTACATCTGTTATGTCAAACTCAAGTAAAAATTAACCTACTGAATCAATGACGAAATTGATGAAGTAATGGACTCTTTTTTCTTGATTATTTTATAGGTTGTTAATGGTAAAAGTCAAAGTTTAAATACAGGAATTGTTACAACTTTAAATTATGGTCAAACTGTACCATCATTAGTTAGCCATCTGACGCTGGCTCATGAAATAGGACATAATATGGGCTCTGACGTATGTTTGTAAATTTCTTTATTTAATAGTAATAGCTACCCGAAGAATGATATAACACCTAATCACATTTCTGAAAAAGAAATACGACTGTCTCGAATGAAAAAGAACAGGGTTCAATTAAGCGGTATCGCATCGCAGTTTGCGAGTCAAAATAACCCTTTTTGCGATCCAATATTTCCCATGATTTTCCAAAAATAGAATGTATCACAACAACAAATTAAATTGTATATTTTTCTTGAGAATTTTTGTCAGACCAGGTAACACTCGGCAGTTTCTATAAATATACTACACACCGTTTAGGTTACAAAAAAATCCGTTGTATTATTATTGTTATAGACGTCACTGGTTAGATAGATCTAGAGTCTACTATATTTTGAATTGCTATCGATTTTCAAAGGCATGCGTATCAAAATATTAATTTCAAGTGATAACGTTTTATATACGTTTTACGTTATACGGGAACAATTATCTGCAATTTCATGAGACTACTTCTGATTTTTTTTTTAGATCTAAATCCCTAACATAAACTAAGAGGTAGTAGTAATATCTTATCGATTAGAGATTGGAGACAGCGACCCATATTAAGTCTTCGGAGTACTGTAATTCGAAGCATTGCACGGAGGCACTATGAGTATCTCTCAATGTAATAGAATACCCCCCCAAAGCCCCTTACCACATTCATATCTTCTAATCCCATTCATATCTTACTGCCATCTGATCCTGTAAACTTCCACTCTTTCCTCTTCACCACCCCTAAACACTTCTCTCACGTTTCCCATTTCACGTGTCTTGCTGCATTATTCCTTTACTTTAAAATCACTCTTAATCTCTTTCTTCGACTTCTTTAACTCTACCCTCATGCCTCGTTGATTACTGTATATACCCGCTCTACAACCCCTGTTCACCCTTCCTCTCTACTGCGCCCTGTTCGATTCTTCTCTACTGCCTGTTTCTTCTTCCTTACTCTCGATCGCGCCCTGTCTCTTTTTCATTCCTCTCTTCCTTCATCTCTACTACGTACAGTCTCTTTTTCATTCCTCTTTTCCTTCATCTCTACTACGTACAGTCTCTTTTTCATTCCTCTTTTCATTCATCTCTACTACGTACAGTCTCTTTTTCGTTCCTCTTTTCCTTCATCTCTACTACGTACAGTCTCTTTTTCATTCCTCTTTTCCTTCATCTCTACTACGTACAGTCTCTTTTTCATTCCTCGCATTTTCTCTCTACTATAAACACTGATACTTCCTCCCAACTGCGCAGTCTCTTCTTCCTTAATCTCTCATATGCCCTATCTTTTCTTCATTTCTTTCTCCTTCCTCCCTCTTTACTTTGCACCACCTCTTCTCCCTTTCTCTACTGCTCACCGTCTCTTCTTCCCACCTCTCTACTTAGCATTAATCATTCCTCTCTAATGACCCTTTCCGCCTAATTGTTCCCAATGTCTCTACTTTACTTATTATCTTGCTTTCCTCTGTCTCTAATAGCTTAATCTTTTTGGAACATTTTGAATTATGCCGTAACTAATCTTTAAACCCCGAAGCCTTGCAACTAGATTGGGCAAGGTATTAGTTTAGTTATATGCATAAAAACTGTTTTGAACCCTATCAGTAGAAACAATTACTGCTAGTAAGAACTATCACAATGAGAAGTACAAGCATATTATTTCCGACCAAATCACTAACGGATTACACTAGTATAAGCCAAATCACGTTTTATTGCGAATCATTTATTCTTTCTGAATTATTATGATCTCATATAATATTTCAGCACGATCCGGACAATGTAACATGTACACCGAGTGGTACTGGTGGTAATTATATCATGTACCCTAAAGCTACTAGTGGTAAACAAACTAATAACCAGTTTTTTAGTACTTGTAGTATAAATTATATGTCACCGATAATCACCAGTAGGGGTACTGGTTTAAATGGCTGTTTTACAGGTAAATACTACCAATCAGTGTTACGATATTTGAGTACACAATGGTTGTTGTCGTGGACCATGTAATCTGATCACAAAAGATTATCAGAAAGGTTCATCGATATTCTTTAGGTTTAAAGGAAATATTTTGTAAGGTTATTATAATTGGGGTGATTTTGTTGTCTACCATAGTGGGATATATTGTTTTATTTTGACGATGGCTCTGTAAGTTTCTTGATAGATAGATAGATAATAGATCTGCATTTTCTAGCTGACAGTGGTTCTATATATTCTAGCTCTCAGTGGTTCAATATTATATTCTGACAGTTGTTCAATAATATTCTAGCTGTCAGTGGTTCTATATCATTTATAATCTAGCTGAAAGTGGTTCTATATATCCCGACTGACAGTGGTTCTATATATTCTAGCTGACAGTGGTTCTATATGTGGTAATAAAGTAATAGATGAAGGAGAAGAATGTGATTGTGGCTGGGAAGATGAATGTCAGGAATATTGTTGTAATGCCCGTGGTGGAAGCGGTACTCCCTGTACTCTCAAATCTAATGCCACTTGTAGGTAAGTAGGGTAAGATGAAATGAAGAAGGAAATTGCCCGATCAGCGGAATAAGAATGTGTTATGCCTTATTAATATCCATTAATAGTGGAAACATTTCTATTTCGTGGTCCTTATAATTGATCTGTTTTCCTTAAATTTTTCAATTGATTGTACCCAATCATTTTGTCTGTTATATATTGACCCATTGCATTATTGCGCTCTACCTGCAAAGATTTTACTTATCCGGGTCACTTTGGTCTCAAATGTCACAGAAAAGTACAACTTCACCAATGTGATACTAGTATTGAAAAGAAATACAGAAATTGTTCAAACTTTTGTGTTTTTATCCACTGATATGTTTTGTGTTTTTTTTTCTCATTTTCAGTCCAAGTCATGGTTCATGCTGTGATAAGAATTGTCAATTAATACCAGCAGAAAATAATCAAGTCTGTCAGTCTAATTCTTCCTGTCATGAGGAAGCATACTGTGAATATCCTTATTAGAAATCGAATCGGGAATAACCGATCTGGAGCATATTCGTTCAATAGTTTGCAACTTGTAACATTTAATGAAGGTTGGGTATTATAGTGAAAAATTTGTGTCGTGGAAGGTTCTTTTTAAACTGAGTAAGATACAAGTCATCTTGGTACATAAAGGCAACTCATTGACCCAATGATTTACTGCTTCCAGTTTTGGTACAAGCATTATATATGGCAAGGATAGTAGGATAGGGGCAATGTACATCACAAAATTTCAAAATTCTTCTTCTTGTAGTAATTGCTACTGTAACCTGTTTTCTTAACCATTAGCACTAGTGCAAATTACAATGCTGAATGTCCCGAGCCACAAAGTTTACCAAATAAAACAGTTTGTGATGGTAGTCGAGTTTGTATGAATGGTGTAAGTATTTTAAAGTGTATCATGGGTTAAAGGAAAACCTGAACTGAAATGTAGTTTTAAGTCCAACTTTTCTGAACCTGTTTTTTTTTCGATTTCCACTGTAGAGGGATCATTATTTTTAAAGTGCACATGGGGATTCGCTTTATTTAGGAGAATTTAAAAGACACTTTAGATATCTGACTCAATTCAAGAAGAAACTTCACTATATTGATATATTCATAGGAATGTACAGGATCTATTTGTTTAGCTTACGATTATGAACCTTGCCAATGTAGTCCAACAGAAGGCGTCAATTGGAAAGATGAAGTACTCTGTGCTGTTTGCTGTATAGTTAATGAAAAGTGCACGTAAGTATTTTCCAAAACTAAAATAATTATTTTACGTGTATTTTTCTATTATTTCTTTAATATTTATGATTTTTAGTGACTAGTGTTTGGTAGTATAACATTATTGCTTTTATAATTTACCATCTTGAAATATTACAGAAGTTCATTTGAAGTCAGTTTTATGCCTAATCTCACAATGGTTCCTGGAAGTCCATGCTATGACAATGAGGGATATTGTGATGTATTTAGTAGATGTAGGGAGGTAAGAAAAATTTGAAAATGAGAGTTACATAATGTGTTTTAATGTACCTTTTATCGAAATGGTTTACAGTTGTCCCAGTAGTTCGAAATATCTTCATACGTGCGGAAAATCCAATAAAACGAGTAGTTTTTCTGACCCTACTCCGGAAATATTCCCATAAAATAGACCCTATTCAAATAGTCAAAATAATTATCAGAAGCTGGATTAGAGGCAGTGTTTCGGATCATTGAATGTTTGAGTGGTCAATCATCACAGCATATATTTTTTCAAAGCATAATCTAGCTTTGATATTACCTTAAAGGTTGATCCTAGTGGTTTCTATAATGACTTATCAAAATGGTTGATATCATCAAGTAAAGAAATTGAATCATGGATAAGTACCAATTGGTGGGCAGCTGCTTTAATAGCCTTGGGCTTGGTGATTATTCTGGTAATACTTCTTTGTTGCTATGATAGATATCGTGTAGTATACATGGGTACAGGTTATTAGTTAGTTGATGCAGCAAACTATAAAACATTGACATTGCAGTTCATTTAGATTAAATTGGTAAAATCTGCGTAACTGCAGTGTAATTTTGTTAGTGGTCTGGCTGTAGATCTGAGTTTGCCTATAGACGGACTGGATGCGGTCTATTTCTATTCTTTTTTCCAAGGCACAAATGATTGGAGACAAGACTCATTAATTACAGCATTTTTACAGCAGAAGGAAATAGGGTACTTCTTTCATAATTATCCATTCAATTCTTTTTATAGGGATTGTTTGTCAAATTCTGTAGTAAATCTCCATCTAAAGTAAGACGAGAGAAATGGGAAGAGCATCAACGACAACGTCAGACACAGGATGGGTTTAGAATGCAGCAGCCTCAACAACGAAGGTTAGGGTCTAGTACCAACAGAGTTGCTCCTGTGTTTACTACCCGTGAAAGTCGGGGAGGACAAATTCAACAATATCGCAATACATGATAACAACGTTGTGAGTGGATGCACAGTGTAAAATCGTGGTACGATCGTGATAATGATATTCTGCTTACTATTTTATGTGCCTTGAGTTATTAAATTATTCAGTATCATATATCTAAATTCCAAAGGTTTTATATTTTGAATAACTCACACTTATTGAAGATATATATTATGTATGTTTAAGTAAACAAAATATTATACCAATGTAATTGTGTTGTATTAATAATGTCTAATAACCAACCTATATTGTTTATGTAACACGATGGCTAATTGGTCAAGTTGAATGAGATAATGTAATTAATACTAAATGAAAGGGCCATTATTTTTGAATATTCACCTGCTGGATTGATTAATTAATAGATGTCTCATCTTTACATTGTACATAACTATCATTATGTTAATATGATGTTTTAACCTCGTATCAACCTATTTTTAATAACGAGGTTCAGAAAAGTTCAATATTGTTAAAAGCCCCATTTAAATGAAGACTTTTATTTCAATTCAATAAATAAGTACGAATATAGTCTGCCTTCATTGATTTTATATTAGAGTGTATTTTCTGATGTATTGATTGATTTTCATTGGTTTTCTTTGTTAATAATTAATAGTCAGCTATCTTTTCTTCTTACCTTTTTATATTTTATAACGACGTTTAAAGACCCATAGTTCTTTAGATAATGCTGTGTTATAGCCTATGTGTGTGGACGAGAGTTGGGCAGAGGGTGTAGGTAGGGTTCACTGTTGGGTACACATGGTTAAAGCACAAGTCAGTTAGGTACGGTACTTTAGTTACATTTCTTTTAGGCACACGTTCATTTGGGAACAGATCATATAGGCTCAGTGTTATATGGACATTATGTACATATTCATTTAGGCACAGTAGTTTGTTTTTTGTTTTTCACTTAGATCACAATTTCTTTCATTGCGTTAAATTTCAAATTACCGCTATTTGCTCCATTTGATTTTCAGTGATTTTCAGCATAGTTACAAACGTTAAATTGCTGCTTTACAATTGGAGCAGATGTAAATTTGAGTGATAACGATCAATGCTTATAAAAAAGATTTAAAGAGACAGATTCGTCATTTTCGAGAATTCAGAAGTACTAAAAATCGCATACAAAAATGGTATACTTTCTTTCCACGGCATGCGGATGGTAAAAACGAAACATCCATTTTAAATTTCATCAAAATCGGTTGAAAACTAAGAGAGTAATAGTAATATTCAAGATTTTGGGGCAAGGGCAATAACTCGAATAATAGCTCAAATTCGAACTTGATCTTCGTTTTATGAATATGTATACACACTACCGAATTTCATTTGATTCCATCAAAAAATCTAGTTTTTAGAGCGTTTACAACCAAATGTTGACGGATGGACGGACGGACGAAATAGAGAGATGTGGGCGTATAAAAATTATTCTTTTTAACTTTCGAACACGGATAATTATGATTACACATGCCCAAAAACGCTCAAATTTAGACGGTTAATACATGATTAATTCTCGTTTGTCAAACCAAGGCACGATTGACCCTGAAACATGGCGAATCTGCCCCTTTCATAACAGACACATGTATGTTAAGTACATTTTGAACACTCGGGACATAATGTTCTGGTTTGTATGATCAATAAAATGCATTTCTTCAGCAGTTTTGTAAAACATATTGGAGTGATTTATGCACGAATTTGAGATAACCCATCTTTAAGTTTGAATGGTTAATGAAATGTAGGGCTCACTATTATAGTTCAATATACTGTATATTTTAGGTTTATTTTACGGTTTCATGCGTTCACATAAAAAGGGGCTAAGATCTGAAAACTAATGGGTAACATTAAGTCACTTATTTTCTTGTTGACATGTCATCTAATAATGTCGATTCAGAGCATCTCATTATAGATCCGTCGCTGACGTTGCTCATATAACAAATAGACTATATTAGCAACCTGCTATTAGGCTACGTGGATAATCGAAGATTCTGACGCTCAGGACGGCATATTTAATGTTATTGGAAAGTAGAACCCGAGCAATTGACGACATCTGCGCCTGGGTTGACTAAATCTGAATATTGATCAGATTCTCCTAGATGCCACCAGTTGATAGTTATCCCTGAAAATACAGATCCATAAATTGCAATAATAACCTGAACCATCTCTAAAGTCATCTATGAACTATGAGATCCATAATATCATAATTGTCCTTCTAGAAAGATCAAGGGACAGCCGGAACTATAGGCCTATCTGGGCAGAAACACTCACTCATGTGTAATTTTCATAAATTGAGGATTTTGATCTATCAATTGTTCTTCAAACTTAAACAAACTTCTCAAAATACAATTATTTGATCATGTTCCTCCTATACAAAAGAACAAATGAGATAAAATATTAAGATTTATTTCACCCCATAACAAATAATATATTTTATTATATTATGAAAACAGGATTAACAAAAGTATGCCATCATTTCGCAGTTCAGTTGGAATTCAAAAAGACTGAATGACTTTGTCGTCCATTTCATTCAATATAATGAAATAATAACAACACTCGTATCACAGTTTCTTTAAATAAAACAAATTAATAAATATGATTTCTGAACGAAATAACGAAATAGAAATCATTAAACTATATATAACTTAAAGTGTAAAATAATAAAATATATTTTAAATTCACGGTAAAATAACAGCTCTACTTAGTTCGTTCCATTTCACTTAAAAAACTGAATCAAGTTATTCATTTTAAATTGTATCATTAATTTTATTGAAATAATACAAAATTGAAAACGAAAAAGTCAATTTTGTGAAAATTTACAGAATAACATACTTCCAGTTAGTAAGCATGAACTTCCATCCATTTACCTTCTTTGGACATTTTAATATTTATTTCACCGTCAAAAGGAGCCAACCTCCCATACCTAATCCACACATTATCATGACGTTCGGCAGTTTTGTAAAGAAATCATTCCATCCAATACTGGCATCTAGATATGCACAAATCCAATAGAGATCAGTAATAATATATCTACTCACTTATTTAAGTTGTCAAATAATGTTAAGAGAGGCTAATCAGAAACATCGTCAAATGTGTGTAAATGTCAATCAAATTCAAACTGGTTATCATAGTCAGTGTATAGTAACCGTGGTCAATTAGAGTTCCCGATTATAGTTTTCAGTTTCTTACAAACGTCTGATGTCCAACAAATTTCTAATTCAAATATAATATACATGATGAGGTAATAGAAAAATACAAAAAAACATTGCAGGTCATAGGATGGATTATACTAGGAAATGCATGACTGTAACACAGTGAAACAATATTATTAACAACCTGATATCCTAAGAAAAAAATCAGTTCACATCCGGTGGAAATTATAATAAATGCGAAGGAATTGTGGAAATTACATGGTGAGATTAGTCAGCTACGGCTTCTTACATACAATGAAGATTTTACAATTATTTTTCCGCATATTTGAATATCAACTTCAATGAAATATTAATAGTCTTAGAATGACTTTGTTCTGATAATTGAATTGAATAAAGTCCAAAAAATATTGACTGAAATTTTGCTTTCTGGAAATGAATTTCAACATACGTGTTTTAGGAACACATAGCAATTCCCGGTCATTATCACATGTACATTTGAAATTTAAATCAAAATCACATGAAAATAATGAGTAAAGTTCGATTCACGAACAAAAGTAAGAAGACAGACAGTATACTTGTAATAAATGGACGGGGATTAAATCACAGGAGTTTATCACACAAGTTTAAGTTTATAAACTAGTCAAATCAAAACTAGATCTGATAAATACTGACAAAGTTCCAGGTTTTACTTGTTCAGCTTCTTTCTTTCTACCATATAGTTTACATTTTATTTCTTTTCCAGCTTCATTACCATGTTCATCAACTCGACCTTCCGCCAGGAAATCATTCACTAACACGTTATGATTTTCAATCTGAAATAAAATAACAGAAACAATCATGTTATATATAATTAATTGGCGGATTCAGGTTTCTAGAACATTTCACAATCAGTGCTGACACTAGATACATGTATATACTTTAACTTTCCATCTTCTTTTAAGTGAGCGGTGAGGTATTTATTTCACAAGTTATGTCAAATGCAGGATCCCGGGATATGTAAAAACGTTAATAATCGAAGATAAGAGTATTAAGACAACCGTCATCACCTCTTAGTAGAATGCAAAACTCAAATTGGTCACAAAAAGATTATGAATCAATATCTTTCCAACGAGCTGGTACCGTGGCGAACAACATGAAAAGTGAGAAGACTTGACAAACGAGCGGTCTTGGTCGGAGACTTTTGTCGCCGATTAGAGTCTTGTCTTGAGTTTCAACGACTGGCACGGGCACACGAGGAGACAAAAATCTCCAGTCGGTCGATAACCACTTACGGAGCATGCAATTGAAAGGAAAAGGAATCTGATTGGATGAGGACTCTCTGACATGCAGACGATTAAACTATCGGAGACAATTATCAAATTTGTTTGATATTATAAATCCTGTCGGCGAAACGATAAATTGTCGGAAGCACGGGCACACGCGAGATTTTACTCAAGATTCGAGTCGGAGACAAAAATCTCCGACCAAGACCACTCGTATGCCTGCACCTTTATTCAATGCCACCCGACTTTCTCGAGACGACTGAGATTATAACTCACGACTAAGCAATACAAACCTCTACTATAATAGGTAATTCGGGTTTCTTTCTGTAAAAAGTACCAGTTATGTTATAGGTAGCTGATGTTGTATTAGTATGATGGTTAGATTTGATAGATTCACCTTCACATTTGATTGTAATCATTGGATCTAAAGCTGTAATAAATAACAAAATTACTACATAACATTAATTTCATTGAAAACATGCAAGGTGCAAAGTTGAGTCAATCGATAAATTTAGCGCACTTAACGATTTATGGTCAGCAGTTTTGTGGATTTTATCGGCATACATGAGCCATGGATACAAAGTGTAGCAATCTAAGAAAGAGACGATGATATACATTCGAAATTTTATAACCACTACTACCATGTAAGAATCTTCAAAGTATTACGTGGTACTTTCTATGGTAAAGGAGCATAATTTCACATATCTGTATTCATTTTGTAGAAAATCAAACGAGTATATTAAATTTTAAACATAAAGAAATAGCGACTGTAAAACTATTAAATATAGATACTTAACTCTATTTGTACATATTCATTGAACTGGATACAAACTTGGCGTTTGGATTATGTCTTATGAAAAGGAATACTGAAAGCTAAAATGGAACTATTTCAGCGCAAAGCATTTATCAAGAAGATTTAGAGTTATGTAAAGCTCTTGATGTTTACTACTTACATTCTTTAGATTTAGCTGTTGATGGTAGTTCTAGACCATCTACTGATATAACAGTTATAGTTGTTACCATCACATGTTTCTTCAGACATGGACAACCTCGTGTGGGTCCTTCCTTTGTTAATTCTCTGTAAATATATATACAATCAAACTTGATTTCAAGGGAAATCACTCATTCTGATATAGGGTCATTTCATGGGAAATGTTACATTTTGTGCATATCCAGGAGCATTTCGGGGGGAAATTGAATTGAACACACCAGACATGTATTCATAACACATAGAGCACAGCAAAAACAATCGTTTCTGGAAGCGCATATATATATCTATTTATATTTCTTTCATCATTTTTGCCATTGCTACCTGGGTACAGTTCAGACTTTATGTAACAAACGAGTCCTTGTCAATTTCTCATTCTAATAATCCACAGCTTTAACAGTTTTTATGACTATCAAATAAAACATATTAATAAATCAAACACCAAAGACGGGCTTGAGGTTCGTATCTAAAGATTAAAGCGATACCTTACCTTGCAGGTGAAATCACCCTGGCCGCATTAAATAAAATTCAAAATATTATTATCGATGAATTAAAATACATTTAAGACCTTGTGAAGCTGGCATCATATTCAATTAAGCTGATATTTGCAAAAAATATTTGCGTTGAGTATGTGTGTTCTAAAAGGATAAGTACACAGAACTGGTTGTGGGACATCAACAGAGGTGTTTATACATAATATAGAATATATGCAATCAATCGTTTTAAAACATGACAACATGTCCTTCTCATAATATAAATGAAAATTGCTTCTTACCCAGCACTAGCACTACTTCCGGTGTATAATCTTAACATAAATCTACCCGTACAACCTTGTTCGGCTGTTGTGGGTATGATAACATATCTTCCTTTAGGTAAAGTGGTTTCACCAAATACACTTCGAGTTTTACAATATTCAGAAGAGAACATCATCTGACCAAGAATATGAACACGATATTTTCGATTTTCCTCCACCTAACGTGAAATAATATTAATCTACGTCAGTGTCAGAGTATGTATAAGCATTTTGTGGTTATTTTCAAAACTAACACGCATAGTTCTTAGATGATCTGCAGGCAGGAATGCATCAACAAGGTATTATCTTGCTCGCTAACCTAATGATTCGATCTTCGCATAAATAGTAACGATTTTCATTGAAGTGATTGAACTATATCGTTACAACTTCAACTTTATTTTCTTATAGAATATCATTAATTTATAATATCTTGATCACTCATAAGCCATAAAACTGTCAATAGTTTTACAACCCTTGGAGCTTGATAATTCATATAAAGTAGATTGTTACCTTCATAATATGAAATCCAATTGTATTTAAATTCTGACCGAACGTTTGTCTATCTGGATGTATATCATGTTGTTCTAGTGATATCATGACTTTATCACTAATACCATTTATATCAAATAAAAACTGAAAAAGGATAAGAGTCAATTCAAACCTTCCTAGATTTGTTTTAATCTTTTAGCTGTTTGATCTTCTTCGTGTATTTTATTTTTTCGTTGGGTGCATTTTATGTGACCGTAAATTGGTTAAATTTAAAGTTTACGAAAATCATAAAATTATTAATGGACAAAATAGTCTTCAATTTTGTATTTCGAGAAATTCGAGAAAAAAACCTTGTTTTGACATTGATAAATTTATATCATGCTGCAGATGTTCAAAATTATCTATTAGATATCACTAATTTGAGGTTCGTATCTTTCGTAAGGTAAACGCTATAATTACATTATAAGCCTTTTACTATTGATTAAACATTGATAGGCTTATAGAGTACCAACCTGCGGATTTCCCAAGAAAGATGGCGCATTAACAACTCCACCTCCATTTCTACCGTTATGATGCCATTCTGAGTGTAAAATAGCTTCTGCCCATGTTTTTTTAATTGAGAAAAACGAGGTATTAACGAAATGGCAGATATCAATTGCTGTGAAGTGGTTAAGTAAATCTTCAAATGACATCCTAAAAAACGAAAAGTACTATTTTGAAACTTATGAGGGTTACTTTACTCGTATCTCGGATATCAAGACATTGCCGGATATAGGGAATACAGGGAATAACCCTGTACCTCACAGGTACCAAAATACAATGCTGTGAAGGGACCAGGCTTGATTCTGTTATAAAATTCCGACTAAGATAATTTGGTTCACCTTTCTTTTAATTTCGAGAAAAATGTTTTGATAGGTTTCAAAATGGGGTTAAATGTCACTGATTTGAGTATTATTAAACAAATATAAAAGAATATAAAGTACAGATTGGATTGTGCTTTAATAAATTCGAAGTGTTTTCTATAGAGTTTTTGAAGCATGTATATCAAATCTGAGATAAAACTAGACTAAATGTCGGACGAAAGCTTAAATGAATGACCGACGTTTCGGCACCTTAGCCAAAGCCTATTAAATAGCAAACCCTACCAAAATTCGCCTTCTTGTTGAAATTTAACTCCCATCTTTTCCCATTGCTGGGGTGCAACTCTTTTCCATTCTTCTGATCTGTTGTATAAAAAAATATAGAGCACTCAAATGAGGTTCAAAAACATATGTATTCCCAGCCAAAATTATCTTAACTGACAAAATATCCAGGGCAATATGTGAAGGGGTTGGTTGAGCCAGCACGGAAGAAGTACATTGTGACAATACCACGTCTGCTGATGAAATCTATTACTCTGACAGCTTAATAATACCAACTCTTATATATGAGGATATCGGTACCATCATTATGATAAAAGTCACCGGCCGTTATGCAGCTGTTTCGCTTCTTTCATTGCCAGTTGAAAATCTTAAACCTTTGTGACCAATATTTTGGTCGTTTTTTACTTACCGTTTTTGGAATTAAACCTTTGAATAATATCTAATACAACAATACTTACGAATCTGACCAGGCACCATTCCATTCTCGTGATCCCCAAGGATTGAATAGACGAACCAGATATAACATACTGGATCCTATTGTTCCTTGTAAACTTCTACTGACGGTTATACTTTTTACATCTGTTATATTATAACCGTGTCCTAATACCAAACCTTTATCAGTATATTTACCAACTTCCTCTTTAACACACTGGGAAAATAAATGAAAAAAAAAATGAATTGGTGCACCGGAATAATTGAGATCTCATCTCGTGGATTGTTTCGATGCCACCCTGTCTTCATTTTTTAGTTCAGATAAAACTTGGATGGGATTATCTAGATTCAACATCGCCTATATACCAATCCAACTTGAAACAATAGATTGAATTAAAGATGTCAGTAAAATATCAGATCAATATAAGTCATTATCATTTCAAAATCATCCTTTTCTGGCATACCTTACTCTCTGGTGGAGAGATTTACAATATAAAAATTTAGTACAAACAACAGCCTACCTGGATGTTACATGTCATCAAAGCTCTGTTTTCTTTAGCATCGCACAATTTAGTAAACAATGCATTACTGGATTCGGGATCTGACAATGTAGCCTTTAATTTGACGGTTTCTAACTTCTCTGATACTCCACTGGTAAAATCAACAAGTGAGTCGGCAACTGTACCTGATTCTAACGATTCATAGTCACCATACATCCTATACAAATATCAAAATATAACACATGCATTTTTACGTTATTTTCTCAGACTCAGCAACGAAACTATAATGTCCATTGACCACAGAAAACTTACACAATACCCAGAACAGTTCTCTGCAGATTTTAGCATCAATTTTAAAAAATTTTAGGCATACCTTCGAGCAGGGAGAAACATTTCTTAAAACGGCACTGTATTTCTAGGCATTGTCTTGTCCAGTCGAATAACTGTTCTGTCACAGAATGTGATCAATGGTCAATGGTCATTGCTATAGTGCCACACTCTAAAAATACTAGTTAGTAGGACACAATAAGATCTATTCATACTCGTGTAACATTTGACAGTATATTTACACAAATCTGGACTATCATCTTAAAGCGGACATGCCTGATGTTACGCAAAGAGAACAAGAAAGTGTAGTTCAAATGTAACAATTTTTTTTCATAGGGCTCTTAATTCTGGTTTTGCTTTTGAAATTTTGGTTCAGTAAAATTTATGCAGTCAGAAATCAAGTTATTCTGAAATACGATGGTAACATTTGGATAGTTTCCCAAGTCTACAATCTCAAAGTTGACCTATTTAATAACAATGGTAACATAGCAGCGTAACAACATACAGAAGTGAAAGATATGTTACATACATAATTAAAATGGCGTGATCTTATTTTTAGTAATTTATTGATTTGTTTAATTGAGTTTTTTCATCCGATTTCTACGATCCGTCGAGACCACGTTGGCCTTATTTCTTCTCAGGTCTGGACGTTTACCATTGTTTTAAGATTTACATTTTATGTATATAATAAATATAAAATTAGCCTACTCCCTCCCCCAGAAAGGTTTCTTTACCTGCAGTTCAGTTATCATGATCTTATACTTACTTGGCATAAGCTTTCTCCAATAAGGCACTCCAGAATTCATTTCTGGATTTTGAATGACAGAATACAAGGTTGCCATTTTTAGTTGGTAATCGATCATCAATTACTACTTCAATCCAATCACCAAATCTCCAAAATAAAAATTTGAATATTCCCGCATATAAGTTTTTATCATCCCATTCCTGATCTTTATGGTTTGTAACAACCTGGAAAAAGGAAATTAATGTAATGATACTCCATACGATATGTAAAGCTATCCAAATGATGTGTAAAGCAATCCATACGATATGTAAGGCTTATCCAAATGATGTGTAAGGTAATCCATACAATATGAAACGGTTATCCATTGGATGTGTAAGGGTTTCCCAAAGATGTGTAAGGGCAATCCATACAATATGTAAGGGTTATCCAAATGATGTGTTAGAGGAATCAATACGATATATAAGGCTTATCCAAATGATGTTTAAGAGGAATCCATACAACATGTAAGGGTTATCCAAATGATGTGTAAGGGCAATCCAAACGATATGTAAGGGTTATCCAAATGATGTGTGAGGGCAATCAATGCGATGTGTAAGGTTTATCCAAATGATGTGTAAGGGCAATTCATGCGATGTGTAAGTGTTATCCTAATGATGTGTAAGGCAATCCATACAATATGTAAGGGTTATCCAAATGATGTGTAAGGGCAATCCAAACGATATGTAAGGGTTATCCAAATGATGTGTGAGGGCAATCCATACGATGTGCAATTATTATCCAAATGAAGTGTAAGGGCAATCCATGCGATATGTAAGTTTTATCCAAATGATGTGTAAAAGAAATCCATATGACAAAGGTTACACATATGGTATGTTAGGCTTAACCAAAAGATGTAAAATCGATGCGTAATTCACTTGTTTAATCCATACGATATTCAAACGTTATCCTTTACATATATGAAAGGGTTATCCAAAGGTAATGCAAACGATGTGTAAGGATATTCCATGCGATATGTTTACAAAATAATGCACTAGGGTAATCGAAATAATCGAAATAAAATCATATTTGACGTATTTCTGTTCACAATGGACACTTGCAAGATTCACACCTTAAGATGAGAAGTAGTGAAGTGAAATTGAAATAAGTGGAGTTTTGCGTCCTACTTTTCTGCACCTATGATTGGGTTAATGAAGACGGAGGAGAAGCCACTTGTGAACATGCTGAATCAAGATTGTTGAACCATGGAAATCAAAGTAAACACAATACCTTTTGCCACAATTTTGGTTCCTGTGCTAGACTAGAACAAGCTGTAACAAACCAAGTATTACCCAGATCTCCTTGATTTAAATCATCACAGCTAACTCCTTCTACAACTAATTTGGGTACGCGGCATAATTCCTGTAAAAAGTCAACATTATTCTATAAAATTACAGTAAAAATATATCCTGTTAGTTAACATTATTATTAATAGTCAACATATCTGAGTAAATAGACAAAATAGCATCTGTAGATAGTCAATAAAACTCTAAAAAGTCAAAATATCTAATGTAAATAGTCAACATTACTCTGTAAATAGAATGAATTTCAAACAAACAGATACTATTGCTATGTCTTTTTAGTGAACATAATTCTGTAAATAGTCAACATAACTCTGTAAATAGTCAACATAATAAAACTATCGTATGTAAATAATCAATATAGCTCTGTAAATAGTCAACATAACTCAGTAAATAGTCGACATAACTCTGTAAACAGTCAACATAACTCAGTTAATAGTTAATATTATTATAATTATTCAACATAACTTTGTAAATGGTCAAAATATCTTATGTAAATAGTCAACATAACTCTGTAAACAGTCAACATAACACAGTTAATAGTTAATATTATTGTAATTATTTCAACATAACATTGTAAATGGTCACAATATCTTATGTAAATAGTCAACATTACTCTGTAAATAGTTAATATTATTATAATTATTCAACATAACTTTGTAAATGGTCAAAATATCTTATGTAAATAGTCAACATAACTCTGTAAATAGTCGAAATATCTAAATAGTCAAGCATTACTTTGCAAATAGTCTATATTTTTTAATGAAAATGTAATGTCAATATAATTCTGTAATTTTTTTTTAAAATATGTTCTATTGCTATCATATATTACATTTTGAGAAAAGATTTAAAAAAAAGCTAAATTGTTTTTAAATATCGAAAGAGTTAAATCCTTTTTTTTCATTATTTATGATAAGAGAATATGTGCTTCTTTTGATCGTATTTGAGTGAAGTGGAGCGAAAATATAAAGAAACCGTCCATTCAGGTATTTTTATGAAACCAAAAATCAATAACCTGCCTTCTATTTGATGTATTGAAAACCTACCTTTGGTCGTTTCCATTCTATTTCATTATCGATCTTAGAATTAAATAATGATTTATTATTGGCTGGGAATTCAGGGTCTTCAAACAGCACTCCTTTACTAATACAATCCTTCCTGATTTTAGAATAACTTTGATTCCTATAGTTGGTAGGCATTGTCAGAGGAACCAAATTTAAGAACTGAAACAAAAACCAATCAAATTGTTCAATTGTTAACAGTAAATTTTTGATCACTTTGGGTAGTTCATTTTTTTTTATTACTACAAAATATTTTCCTGTTAATTAGTTTTATACAAACGAACGTGTAAAAATTGCATGTCATCAAAGTATTGTGGAAGGATTGTTAGTATAGCGTTCATTGTTTATGCTATTTGTAATCCAACCCTAAGTAATATCAATAATAGGCCTACATGTACTTATTATGACGTAATAAAATCCTGCACAGGGAATAAAAGGCTTACCAATGATTTATTATATTATATTTATTGCTGAAAATCTAACAAATTCTAAATACAAAAGCTAACAAACTTGCTGATAGTTGACTTAGACTAAGACAATAATCATCTTATGATTCTATACGATAAAACTAAATCAGAAACAATTCAGATTAAACACAATATTCAAGTAAATAACCAATATTTCATCAAAGGCGCAGTTCCAAATTATCACATTTACTATAAATTAGACATGTTTGCCAAGAAAATTTGAGACAAACGAAAGTCGTACCATATATATCATCAGAATTTTCAAATTTTGATTTCAATTATCCCTGTAGCATTTACAGTATGCAGGAGACTTTTATCTACCGAGAACATGACATACATGGGGTATGCCACCTTTAAACAAGAGTAGCCTACATTAAGTGTACTGTGTATTATACCGATTATGATAATTCGTTTTAGCTGTATTCATAACAAAATCACGAAGCATTATCGTTTGTTTGTAATATTATGAAAAGATGAAATATAAGCATATAAGATTAGTATATTAGGGTGATATCTATAATGGACTATAAAACTTAACCAAACACTGGCGTATTTAAAGGGTGGGGCGGGGGGGGGGGGGGGGGGGTCCCTACCAAAAGAAAAAAGGATTCCAC